CTGACTGCTCCTCTGTACAACAATCATCACAGGCCCACTACACAGGTGGCAAATTTGCCTTGCATTTGCTGCTAAGTGATGGGCAAGGAGACAGCTGTGAAGTCTTCCATCACAAATGCAGTACTGACTGTTGCCTAGCTCTTTTGCTTACTCCCACCCTTGCTTCTGTAGGAAGAAAGACTTCAGGTATAGTATTGCACTGCAGGCAGGAACAAGTTAAGAAAGGATGGGAGAGGGTAGATCAGGTCTACCCTTAAGCATATTGAGGCAGCCAAAGCGTAGAAATCTATGGGGGTGCAGTCCCATGACCTCCCAAGATTGTGCTATATGGGGGTAGTGGGGTATACTGGGGCTCTGAACATGGAGTCCCTGCTCCATCCTGCACCCTCCACAGCCAGTGTGGACAGAACTGTGCTGGCTGCCTCTCTGAGGTCAGAAATCAGCCTTGAAGAGGAGGACAAGGGGTGTGCTGCGGGCAGGGAGGGGAGGCTGAGGCTGACAGTGATGCTTAGGAACAAATGCCCCTCTCTTAGGGGAGCTTCTTGAAACAGTCATGCTGCAGCACCTGCAAGCACTTTTGGAGGACACAAAAATCCTATTCCAGAACCATTTCAGTCTGGGTTTCAACCTGGTAATGAGACTGAATTAGCCTTGGGCATCCTAATGGATGACCATTATTAAGAGAAGGATAGCTGGAGTGTGCTCCAGCTGTTCATCTTTCAGTTGGCTTTCATTCATTCCACCTAACCTGCAAGGCCAATCTCAGAGGATAGTATTGGGTGACTCAGCCCTTTGACAACTGAACTATGGGGTTTTGAAGATCTTGTCCACGACATTGTTGAAGCAGCTGGAATTGCTCATTAGGGGTTGGAACCAAGTGCCATCAAAATGATGATGGCACACAAAACTATCTTCCTATAACATCAGAATCAGGTGAGGTTATGCAAGATCTGGCGTCCAGGGAAGCTCTGCGGGTGAGTGGTTGCTGAGTCTGGGAGCCTGCGTGAAGGCCTTCTCATGAGGACCTGTGCTCATTGGATGGCAGTCCCTGGTAGTTCTACATGGACCTATAGCCTGATTGGAGTCTATCCAGAGAAGAGCCTTTGGCATGGCAACTCCATTTCCCTGGGACTTCCTGCTTCTGGAGGTCAGACAGACAGCATTAGAAACCTTCTGCACATGCTCTCTATTTCCGGGGGCCTTTCATATCTAACGAGCCACAGTTACTAATCCAGCTTTTTAACCTTATTTTAGCATATTGTTTTATTATTTTATTAGTACTGCATGGTGCATATAGCCTGCCTTTCCCCCTCTTGTAAGGAACCCAAGGAAGCTTATGTAGCTCCATTTTAGGTTCATGGTCAAGTGAGCTTCATGGTCAAGTGGGGGCTACACTCTTCCAGGTCCCCAGTTCAACTCTTGCACCAGCACTATCACACTGGGTCTCCATTTTATGTGTTTTATCTTTTGGTGTGTCCTGGTCCTACACCTCCGTACTGGAATATGAACGGATATATGAATCTTGGAAAGAACGGAAGTACGGCCCCACCTACAGCCAGGCTGTTACACAATAAGATTTGAATGTTTCCACTGTGTAATTGCAGCTTTTGGTCGGCTTGTTACAGTGTACTGAAAGGAATGTTGCAGTCTAAGGTTTTCCTTTTCTAGTGAATTCCAAAGAAGCATATTCACCACCGTCGGTCTGAGGCCTGAGTTCCTTGATTACAAGCTTGATATTTTGACACACCACTTTCTGCATCAGCTTGTTGGCTCCTGCAATGTGATACAGCACTCTTTTCCTCTGTATATCATCAGCTTGTAAAAGCTCAGTGACTCCAACATCAGCATTTCAGAGAAGTATTGTTTTTTCTTTGCTGTCAATACATTTTCATCCAGTTCATACAGGCAGGCACCTCTTGTTTGCTTCGTTCTGTTTTGTAGATGAATTCACAGGCATGTGGAGAAATGCTTATGGCCGTCAGTGGCTGTAATTTCACTGACTGGAAAAAATGAAATCGGGAGTTTTAGCAAAGGCCTGGGTGTGTATGTAGCCTGTCATCAGCTTCACACTGACTTTGTTGTGAGTGGTTCAGTGACCATGTATGGGAACATGTGGAGAAAATAAGCAGACTTCATTCTGCAAACCTGTTCTTTAGTTTCCATCTTAGCCTTGAAGTCTGAGGGTCACTTTAAACAACTGAAATGCTGCCTTGAGGTAGAATATCATGTTCCTTCAGTATTTTCCTCCATGGCTTATGTACCCAACTGGGAACTTCTTGTGCCTCTATTTTAGAAGGTGTGAACAATATTGAAAAACGCGCTGAGTGGAATCTCTGCTGAGCCATTGGGTGCAACAGCTCGTGATCAAGGACAAGTCTTGTTGAATGCCTTGTTTGTTGCAGACAATGGACTGATAGAAGTGCAGAATGCTGCCTTGCATGTAGCCCATCTAGCCCAGTTTCAGCCTACACTCACTGGTAGTGTTTTTCCAAGGTTTCAGGCTGGATTCTTTCCTGGCCCTACTTGCAGAAGTCTAGAATTGAACAAGGGCTTCAAATCATGTGATCTACTCTTCCACAGTTGGCAGGTAGGTGAGGGGAATGTAATTCCTTAGTGTTCAGAGAGAATTAAATTAATAGTGAGCAAAGGAGGTGAGATCATCTTACACTGCAATAACAGTTGTGTGTTTTGTGGAATGTATTTTCATTTGAACTGCTTGGAAAAAGTGGCCGACAGATGTAATCAAATGCTTAGATTACAGTAATTGCTTGCACACTAAATGATTTTGGCAAGGTCACCAATCTCTTCATCAACTATAGTACTTCATCAGACAGATGTCTAACATTCCAGTAGACTCCAAAGAGCCCCTTAGGTATTTATTGAGACCTGCCAAAGGGCCAGGTAGTCTCTGCAGGGACTCCATGGAGGTGGCAATGGTGAGCAAGATTCTACAATGTCAAGGTGTGTTCCTAGATACCCTCAAGATTGAATGGGAACAATGCAGTGCATTCTAATGGCATCTGTGTACTTATATTTCTTGACTACACTTCAAGTAGTGTCAACAGTCACATACAGCTTAGATGTAAAGAAAACACAACTGACAAGTGTGTAGAACCAGAGAGTAAATGGGAAATCAGAATTCTCCCGAGGATTTGGTCTGCAATGTGGGGCCAGGTGTTCTTCAGTCATGCACCTGGTTTCATATCACAGCTCAGTTTCTGAATTCAGTGAGTAACCTTATACAAAGGACTGGGGTCCTGGATCACCACCAACGGGCATCTGTTTAAGTCTGTGCTGCAGCAGTCTGGCTAGTGCCATTAGCCACTCCTGGAACTGTTTGTCTGGAAGGCGTCTCTAGTGAGCTGGCAGCCTGTCTCTTGGATGGCAAGGCAAATAGCAAATGGGCAGAGGTGATAACTGCAAAAGGGAGGTGCGCCCTCTAAGGGCATCTTGCACAAGCCCCCTGCCCCAACCATGAACCTGCACTGCTCCAACATACCGTTATGCTTTCATCTAATGTGAGAATTAGAATGTGAACACTTTGGGAGATTTTTTTAAAGGGGCTAATAAACCAAGTATTTGGATAGGTAGAATATAAAGTCTTAACACTAGAAGAGGCTTCCAGATCAACAGAACCACCCCCGTTCCAGACTGCAGTATCCTTCCTTCCTTCCTTCCTTCCTTCCTTCCTTCCTTCCTTCCTTCCACAGCAGGTAGTCTAATCTCTAGGTTCCCCAGTGCATGTGTTGAGGGGAGCCACAAGGGATCCATCATGCATGCTTCCATTTGATAAATCTCTTTTGCCACCTCTGCTCATCTGTTTCCGTTCGCTTTGCTTGTTAGCACTAGGCCAGCTTGTCACCGCCAAATCTTCTTGCCAGTCCAGTAAGGCTCAGGGCAGTGGCCCAACCAACAGAAACACAGTTTGCCCACCCCCAGTATGGAAACAGTGTGTTCATGGGTATGCATCCCCCCTCTTAAAAGACACAATGCAACAGTTATAGACAATAGAGTACCTGTGGCTTAAATTTAATTATCAAAATGCTTCATCAGATGACAAATTTGAATATTAAAATGCACTCAGAGCCTTTAAATACTCAGAAATAGACCCATTCAAGTGATCTGAGGTATCTGGTATTTATTTGGAAATCTTGCGGTGCTTCAGTACCAGAAGCAATATTTTCCTTTGCCACCTGCAGGGGGGCATTTCAAAATTATTGTAGCAGATTTAAAAAGATTTCTTGCTAGTAAAATCCAGATATGCAAATGCCTACATTAAAGGTAGCATTATTACTGTAGTGGAAAGTCATATTGGTTCAAAGGAGTGATGAATGTCTTGTGAATGTGCAAGTCCCAGTGTTTGTAGAAGTGGACTTTAAGAATGTATCTCAGTCAGTCACTCATTCTATAAATCCTATTAACAGAGAACTTTGTGCTCAGAATTAATCATCTGTTCCTGACACTCCAATGATACTTAGCCATTGTAATGTATAACAATTCATGTCTGATATTGTCCAGAATTAAATATAAAAAGTATGGTCTTATATATTATTACAAATACTTGTTTCCTTTAAAAAAGATCAAGATTGAGACAAAGTACGATAGTCCTAGAAAAAACATGAAGGAATTTCTGATTACATCTGTACTGATAATATGTGCTAAAATATTAATAAATTATCTACAGTATCATTTGGCTGGAAAGTTGCAAACAACGAATTTGGTCAATAGTTAATCCCTTAAGTAGATTACCATTTGTCTTTGGATTGTTCTCATGAAATAGCTTCGAAGAAAAACAGAAAGAAGCTGCAGGGGCTGTAAGGTGGAGCTTGCAGGGTGTGTGTATCTTGCACAGACTGGCCCCTGTGCAGTTCCTAATGGACGCTGAAGGAAGAAACACTTTGCCTGTTACTCGTTTCTGATTAGAGATAAATAGAATGTCTGCTTGGTGGCTTTTCCTTCATTCAGAGATGGGGCAGTGCCGCCCCCCCCACACACACACAAGAAATGGCAAATGCAAGCAGATTTTACAGACACGACCTGGTATTACACAGTTTGTTGCACTTCCCTATATGTACTGCAAATACTCATCTGTACCCTACTGATTTTACATCTCTTTTGTTGTGAACAGGGATACTCATGGCATTTGAAGTGAGCAGTTTTTATGCATGACCTCTTGCCTGCCCCAACTACCAGGGTTGTAGGAGTTGTTCTGTGAGAATGTCTAGATAGAAACAATATTCTGGGTGCATTGTGCCTGAGAATGCTCATATTGGGGCCATAAAGGGGTTCTTTTTACTCTAGGCCCTGCAGTGCCTAAGGCCACCTTTATAAAACAGTCATTATCTAAAGCATGTGAACCATAATTGGACATGTTACAGAAGCCCACACTAGATATAAAATATGGACATATCACTGTGTTGCATGTTCATGATGGTACTCCCTTCTTTTGTCTGGTAAGAAATATCATTACACATTTTCAAGACAATAGGTTAAGGTGAGCATTCTTCCAAGGAAGGAGGTGCCATTAAAACTGGTGGGACTCACTTTCAAGCAAATGTGTTGATTAACAGGCTAAAACATGTTAAAGAATCAGCAGTCTGGATGGAAAGGAGTCAGAATTAAACTGGAACATAGTTGAAAAATGAAGAAGCCTGATGTATGCAGCAATTTATCATTCCCAAGTTTAGTCCCAGTGATTTTGGCAGTTGCTGCCTTAGTGAGGTTTTCTTTTCTTTTCTTTTCTTTCTTCTTTTTCTTTTATTTTCTGGAGAATGCATCACTTTAGTGCACTTGATATGCTTGTATACTTGATTCCTTTACAGCAAACCCACTCCTCACACCCTCAAAACATTCCAGATTTCTGGAAAGCTTGTCCTTCTTGGGTTGCACCATTTGCTGTTCCATCACCAAACACGGCACTTGTTCACAGGATCCATGTACTGTGAGTTAGTACAATGAAAGGCCTCAGAAAACTCTGGAGTGTTCTGCAATGTTCCCAGGACCCTTTAAAGCAAGACAAGATAACAGTTTGGTACCTCTGGTTCTAATTTTCATGTAAGCATTACCCTTCCAAAAAAGGGAAACAATCATTCTTGCTGTCCTCTGGTTCTTGGATTTGAATACATGGCTTCAAAACAGATTAACTTCATTTCTCTTATTATGTGCAATTCACTTTGTTAAAACAGCAATCTAAGCCCTTGAACACAAGATAGAAATAACAGTTCTAATGCTCAGTCAGAAAGCACCCACTTGTAAATTACCACCCTGCAATTATTTGTACAAAAAGTAGGTTCTCTGTGCAATGGGTGGAAGGGGCAGGAGCTGGAAGAATAGGATCTGTTTTCAAGTAAAGATTGTGGCAGAAGGACACCTGGTGCCCTGTGCAGATGCTGCTGTCATGGATGGGGAAAAGCCCCACAGGCTGGAAGCATGGCTCCTGGTTGGAATGGAAGCATTTCTGGAACAAGCCCAGAAATTGTTCCAGAACAAGCCCTCTGAACCCAGGAGCTACAAGCATTCTTCTTGCTATTCAGCAATCTTTCCCATGATCAAAGTACACACACACACACACACACACACACACACACGAAAATACCATTTTGATGCCAGTTTAAGGAGCAAATGCTGCTTTCATTAAATTGTTGATTATATAGCATATAAAAATACAGCTGGGGGGAGCATAGCTCCATTTTACTTTATCACAGAAGAACAATGCTTGAACACAAATTGACGACAGGGAGACAGACAGACATCCAAATGTTGTGGAAATTATCTCAACACACATTTTCTGCCTGGAAAACAGGTGATTCAGAATGTAGCAAATGTGTGCTCAGACCATCTATAGCTCTTGGGCAGAGCAGTCCTATGGCCTGCCGACAATGGCTACAGGGTGACAAGATGCTTTGGTTTCAGTTCTGAGGCTGGAAAAGGGCTTTGACCTCAAAGCAGGAAATCTGCATCACCTTCCACCATCACAGCTGGCACGGAAAGAACCTGCTGGCTGCTTCTCCAAAGTTGTAACCATGATCTCAGAGAAGGGGTGAAGAGAGCATTCTGGGGGCTGAGAGGAGAGGAGACTGGTCTGCCAGGATGGAATGCATCCTGGCAGAACTCCAGCTTCCTTCCCTCCCCATCCACAGTGCTGCTGGGCAGGAGAAGTCCCAAAGAGACAGCTTGCCACCATCCCCCCGGATTGTGTTCTTTGAACAATTGTGAACTTCGAATGCTCTTCTCCCTTGGCCACGTTACCTGACTCACACCCTGTCACATGGGAGCAACACTTTGTGAGTGGCTGTGAGATACGTCTGGGATGGATGCTATCTGAGCAGCGTGGGAGCTAAACTGTGTGTGTCCCTGGGCCATTGCTGGGACAGTGGAAGATCTAGGACATGTGGGAGGAGGTTACCGCAATGCAGGCTCTCCCACACCCACACTGCTCCTCCCATGATCTGGAACACACACAGGCGCTGTGGAGATGCTTCTTCCTATGCTCTGGATGTCCCTGTGTGACTGAAGCACAGCACATCTGTCCACCCAGGTGACGTCTGATTGACACACGCACACATTTCCACTGCAATCTAAGAATGGATAACTACTACTTGAGGAGAAAGATTACAAAAATGAAAAGACCCCTGTGGCATTTGAGACTAATACATATAGTGTGACATGCTAGAATATAATTTTGGTGTGTAAGTCACACTTCTACAACCTCGGATCTTTCCAATGATGTCTGAGAATGATGGGAATTGCAGTTCAGCACACCTGAAGGGCTCCAGACTGGGGAAATGAGTGTAAATAAATGTCTCCATTAAGAAATTGATTCTTAAAAATACTGACCTGAATCTTCCTGGGCTGTGGACATCTGTTTTAATAGCATTGACAGCATATTCTGGCCTGTAAGTTCCACACCATACCTTTAAAAACAATAACAGTGACAAAACATTGCAAATATGATTAGTGGAGGCCAGTGTCACTCTAGTTTTGCTGAGATCTTTCTGAGGGAGGCCAGGATGACATGAAAATTAAAACCAAGACAATGCATTTAAACTCATACATCTTACGAAGTACTTAAACTGGAAGGAAGGTGTACGGCTACATGCAGCTGGGTTCACAGGCTTGCCTCCTGAATGCATCCATGCACTTAGCTGTGATTAACCTAATCTGACGGACCACTCTCCTCTCGGCCCTGCTGCCATGCAGGCTGTTCGACTTAGCAGTTCTGCCAGTTCATATTAAAAGGAGAAAGACCAGCCTGCTGTTCCCAAGTTAACTGTGAAATTGTAACTCAAAATAATTTCCAGAGCTTTCAATCAAGTAGAGTATAATACCTGTGCAAAGTTCAGGAAGAACAGCTGCTGATGGGTGTAGTCAAGCCCAGGAAGCAATCTCTCTTTTCCATTATTTTTTATATAGTTTAGATAGGCCTGTCAAATAAAGAGAGAGGTTATAGTTTCCTAACGGCGCAGGCTTACCTAGCTCTGCTCAGAAGCAAATCCAATGAAGTTGGATGGACCTACTTCCAGGTAAATGGACCAAGGGCATTTTTTTCTATGAGGATCAAGGACACAGCACTACTCCACCAACGTGTTAAACATGACAACAGTAAGCTGGACTCTCATTAAACCAATAGGAGGTTGCCACTAACTTTTGCTGTCAGATTTTTTTGGTTAACCTTTGCCCCTCTCACCTGTCCCCACCCGTAATTAGATGGAAGTGGGAAGGTGTTCAAGTACAGTTCAGGAGTCTCTCTTGTTCTGCCTGACTGGCACACTGAAGCACTAATCATTTAATGGTGAGGGGAACATAAGCACATCACATTTTCTATCCCTTCTAACAGATCAGAGTTTAAAACAATGATCAGAGTTAATGGTTGCTTCACCAGCTGGCTTAGGCTTTGAAAAAAAATCCATGGGTCTCTCTAAAAAGTGCTAAAAACTGACCAGGAGGCAGGAGTATGTAATCTGGGTAAAGGAAAGTGAGTCTAACAAATCAGATGGAGTTTCCTTCCAAATCCATCTGTTATATACATGGCCAGTGTTGTGAAACTCCTACTATATCCCACAAATCTGCCTTTCAGATGTTTTCACACCTGCCCACAGCTCAGTATACTTTTGCTTTGGTGCCATGTTTTCAGTTTCTTTTGTTTTCACAGCATGATCCCAGCCAATCAGGGATCACGAAGGAAACAACAATACAGCACATTGCCAGATAGCCCACTGCACTGCAGCATATAGATGCCATATAGTTGCATAGCTCAGAATGTGTGGGGAACCATCCATAAAACTGCTTTCCCAGAGCCCCTGGAATGCCACTGTAATAATATGGAGATCAAACTAGAGCACAGAGAAGGGAGAATGTCCCATATGATGTCATAATTCACCATGGCTTGTAGTGGGAAAAGTTCTTCCCACAATGGTGGATACATTCTTGGAAAATGAAAGATAAAAGAGTTGCAATCTCTGTACCAACAAACAAAAACAGTGTGATCTTTACTGGAATGCACCATGTCCTGGACACTCAGCTAATCTGACTGTGTGTTCTGTACTGTCTTAATTAAGATGAAGAAAATAAAGGACCAAAACTGTATTTCCTCCTAAGAGAACACTTGAGAAAGTGGCACATCAGTTAATATTTCATCAAAATTCTATGAAACTTATGAACAGCCTTATGTTCTAGTGTAATTTAGGGCTTAATCCTATGCCCTTGTAGGCATGCTGACTGTAGATTTTTTTCTGCCTAAACATGCATAGGATTGCTCTCTTGGTTACCTACTGATTGGCCCAATCTTGCTTAATGCTGCTGAAAAAGCCAAGGAGAAAACCTTCTGTGAATATACCCAGTAACTTTCCTGGTTCATTCCAAAATGCGCTTCCAGATACACAAAGTTTCTTCAAATCAGCAGTGAACTGTGTTTATGTAAACCTCATAGTGTCCTTCTTCATGAAAAACACTGATGGAGGAGATGGTACACTATGCTTGTGTGTGTATTTTGTGAGTCTCCAAGTGCACATTGAGCATGTAATGAATTGGAGGGTCTCAGTATTAGTTTTGTTGTTTCTAGTCGTGAAGCTGTGTCCAACCCATTGCAATCCCATAGACAACATTCTTCCAGGCCTTCCTGTCCTCCACCATCCCCTGGAATCCACCTAAGCTCACGCCGACTGCTTCAGTGACTCCATCTAGCCACCTCATTCTCTGCCGTCCCCTTCTTCTTTTGCCATCAATTGTTCCCAGCATTAGGCTGGGAAAACCCCATGGACAGTACCAAAAAGCATTAACTTACTCAATAACTAACCTGCATAATTACAGCAAAATTTAAGGTATACTAGTCTTAGCTCTTATCTTGGTCAACTTCATCCTGCACTGCTTTCAGGCAAGGATTGTGGAAAATTGAAAATATCTTAACACATAGATTTGGTGGGACATGGGCCATTATTCAGAATGTAGGAAGAGTTGTGCTGGAACAGATCAAAGGCTCATGTCCAACCTTCTATTCACACAGGGGTCAACTGGCTGCCTCAGGAAACCCACAAGTAGGACCTATAGCATCATCTGGGGAACGTTTCCCCGGAAACTGGTGTGCACAGGCATACTACATCTGATAGTGAAGATTGCATATAGCCATCTGAACTAGTAGCCAGTCTTATCCTCCATGAATTTGCCTAATTCCCCTTTAAACCCATCTAGATTAGTGGCCATCACTACATCTTGCAGAAGCTAATTCCATAATCTGTGAGCTGTATGAAGCAAGACATTCTTTTATCTGTCCCTCAAGCAAGGTTGTCTTTGGGTTGAATCTCATGTTAAATTAAAATGTTTAATATGCACCAGAATCTGCTCCTCCAGTTAAATCTGTTGTGACTGCATTGAAATGCTTGGTAATGACACTGGAAAAGCAGCACAGTCATCCCACCCATGGTACAAGTAGGACTCTGCATTTAAGAGACTTAATACAACCAGTTCTGTCTTCTACCCGGACGACTTTATTACATATCCAGCACTGATAGTGCTCCTTGCAGAAGACTGATTTCCAGGACCATTCTTCCAGAGAAGTAGGTGAATTGCAGTATGTTACAAATGTCTCTAATTCCTTTAAAGAATTAGAGTAAGGAGGGGAATGAAGGATTGTAGGAGGGAAGGGATGGTGGAACAACGGGTTGTAGTCCTGAAAGGAAGAAACATGACAACTGTTCTCCATGCATGGAACATGGCAATTCTCTCCTGTACATTGAAAAAATGTAAGTGTTTCTGGGCTCCATTAGCCCTACTCCAACTAATATGCACCATGGCCCCTCCCCTGCTGCTGCTTGCTGGTGTCCATGCATTTGTGCATCAGGAGAGTTCCTTCCCACGTGGGCCAAATGCACAGAAAGCAGTGGATAGCACCACTTTAATGCATGCCTTTCAGATCCTCCAGAAAGAGGGGAGACCAGATTAGATCCTCAATGCTATGTAGCAAAAACTTGGGATTTTAATGCAACAACCTGAGATAAAAGCAACACCAACTTATGCTGCATACAAACAACCTATTCCAATAAATGAACACGTTCCAATAAAACTTCTGAACTGTGTGGGAACAGAAAGAAAATGGGCACTGCTTACCCTGTATGCTTGTCTAAGGCCACCATTATCAGCAATGTTTTCCCCAAGGGTATTTACTCCACTGAGCTGTGAAGAAAAGGACATAAAAATGTTGCTCATGTTTTTGTAGGAAGAAAAACTACATATGTGTTCTGGAAAGCACAATGATACACGGCTTGAAGATCCAAATGGAGGACTGAGACAATCAAGAGGTGGACTGGAGATTATGAAATCTGCGGAATAATTTTCAGAGCGCAATGACTTCATTATTGGTGATAGTAGAAGTTTAACTTGCACAACAGTTACCAAGAACACCCGAGAACCCCTCAGTTTAAGTTACAGAAGTCAGAATTTAAGATTGTGGGGTGCCTAGTCCTATAGACTTCATGGCAGATACAGCAAGCTTCTGAGCTTAGAGGCTTATGTGCAGCCCATGCCCAGTATGAGCCATGGTGAGAATGATCTCTGCTGACACAATGCCTTGCACTGGACATTTTTCCTCTTAGGCTTTTTTCAGGCACAGCTTTTTTCAGCTTTAGGGATAGAAAGAGGCTGAGATGGACTAGTGTAAGTCTGTGGCCCCAGCCTTCTCATCTCACTCTGACATGCCCCTTTTTTCCTCCTTTGAGGCTGAGTTACAACTTTGGTGGAGGGCAGTTGGCATGATCTTTCTGAGTTAGCTGTAAGGTGGTGGAGCTCATCGTTCAGAGTTCCACCTCCAAGGTTGCAGGACTGTAGAGCTGGAACTCCAAAGAATCCTATGGACTCCCAGACAATGTTGGGAGGCCATAGGATTGAACTGTTAAGTTGCACTAAAAATAAAAACAATAAAGAATGGGGGACCAAAAAAAGTTGCACTTAAACATGTGTGCATGGGGTGGGGGAATAAAACACACAGTTGCATGTATCTGTAATGCTTTTTTCCCCTTATGCACACCCTACTTTTCATACAAATGCATATTTTGCTGAACCAGAATAAGCCACAGTACAAGAACTGAGCTAGTCTTTGCCAATGGAGTTGGACACTACTGTTAATCGATGAGCTCTGTCAGTGGAAACAGTCACAATTATATACTTTCCCTGTATATGATCTGGAATGCGAAGTGAAAATCTGCACCAGTGGCTATTCAAACTGTCACCAGAGAGTACAAATGATGGGACCTGAGAATGCCTCCTTGCAGGCATGCAAAGTTAAAATGCCGATTTACAACCATTAGTTTAAACCTATCAGTATTCTCCCAATTGGATAGAAAAAAAATATATTTGGGAAAATGGAGTTAATTTCAATGCAAAAATTGATCCTTATGTTCTCCTCCCTGCAAGACAGGAGGGGGAAGTAGAAGAAGTGTTAAAATATGGTTTAGTGTTATATCTGAACTAGGCCATTATTTCTTCCATCTTATCTTACACTGGCCCAGACACTTTCTGGGATGAGAACAAGCTAAAAATGACCTGTAGGTGTTTGTGCCTTTCCTTTATCAAAGAAATCAAATCTGTTTTCCAGATTGTAAGGGAATGTATGTGTAACCTTTTCTCAGAGGTTACATGAAGTCTGACAAAATCTCATTCCGTAAAAATGCATATTTTATTATATGACAAAATGAAAATAGAAGGATGTATATTTCAATTAAAAAGACAGGGCATACATGTTGTCCACCAGCCAGTTCCCAAGTGAAGTTTCCATACTGGTACACCATGCACTGAGACTGCTTCTTAAAATTATTTGCAGATTCTTGAGTCCACCAGTCTACAAGGTCTCCATTCTGATTAAAATTTCTACCTGAAATAAAAGATGCATGTAAGAAATATTTACTAATTCTGTATAGCCTGCAGTGCCTGATCTTGGAAGCTGAGCAGGGTAAGGCCTGATTAGAATTTGGCGGGGAGGCTTGAGTCTTGCATTGAGCAGGGGGCTGGACCCAGTGGTCTTTGCGACTATATGATGGCCCCCAACAACTGCTTGGGAAGGCAGCCTGCTGGATACCCTGGCCCCAAGTTGTTTGTGGCTTTATGGGACAATAATAAGAATCAGAAGAAGGTGCATGTAAGCATTGCTCCTTTTCAGCACTGTTTTGGGTAGCACCACATTACAAGGATATTGATCCTGATACATTTTAAGAGAAGCACTCAGGGACTGCACTCCAGTGGTGGGTGGAGATGGATGCAAAGAGGGTTGGCCCAGTGTATTTGTAGCTTAAATCTTTTGCTGCCAGTGATGACTGCCTTAAGAGAGACATTTCAACCTTTCATTGTGAAAAAATATGCAGAAAGCTAGGAAACCACCCAACAATTTTCTGCCAGGCAGGTGGTAAGAGCAGAGGAAGACCAGAAGACCAGATTCGAATCCCAGGTGGGAAGGATCTGACCCATTAATGAGAGGTTTGATATCCTCCTTTTTATTGTGACATGAGACAATCTGACCCATCTCCCAGTCCCAAGGTTCATTTCCAGCTCTGCTGCATCCAAACCCTTGGAAGGGGAATGAGAAAACACAGAAAATACGTTGGGGTATGAGCAATCCCATTTTACCCTGTTCCCACTGGAGTTACTGGAAGGGAATTACTGGCACCAGTTCCTTTTGCAGGGGTTTGGCATAGATTAGTGCCATGCTCATGAATGCATCTATAGAGTGAGAGGTTAGGAAAGAGCGTAGGTGCATTCTCCCCCAAAGACACCCACACAATGCTGCATTCTCAGCTGCACCAATCCCCAGACGTGGCCAGTAGACTTTTCCAGATGGGAAAATTTGCCAGTGTTTGGGGAGGGGTATCCAGTGGAAGACATTCCATTTTACCACCACAGTTCCATCTTTGCTGGCGGAACGGCATGTTTGTTGCTTCTAAGGGCCACTTAGTCAATGAATTTCTCTGCTATAGTGCTACCCTAAGGATATTTACATTTCATCTGGGCCGTTCTTATCCCCAACCAGATGTTTTGCTGGTTTTAAGCCTTAAGTACTTGGAATACAGAACACCCACCAACCATCTCTTCCAAATTCAAAGGTCTTAGGAACCACCCAGTGATTGTGAGAAATTTGAATTTGTGCCTTCTCCATTTCTTTGCAATTAGTGCTGTGGTGACCAAGGTCAAAGTATGTCAAAATGTTGGCACTCTTGGAAAGATACGGGGGCACAAGAGAATAGGAACTTATTTGCCCCCATGGCAGGTCAGACCATTCAATGAGTTGCTTCACTTATATGATACTGGTTGCAAGGAGATGTTATGCTGTTGTTGCCACGCTTTGCTGGTTAATTTAGAGGTGATGTCAAATAAAATTAGAATCATGGAGAACCACACAGGTGGCTGCTTTGCACATTTGCTGTTGCACTGCCAGGATGTACAACTGGGACCACGCACACTGGTGCTTCTACCAACATGCGCAGTCATCCTCAGCCTGTTTATCACTAAGACTTGTTAACATCAAACACTGCCTCTCTGGAAATGCTATACAACAAGAAGCTGCTAGTAGTGAAATATTAGTTGCTAATCTTACCATTATCATCAAATCCATGTGTGATCTCATGGCCAATAACCATGCCAATACCACCATAATTCAAGGATTTAGGCTGGGATGCACTAAAGAAAGGTGGTTGCAAGATGCCTGCAGGAAAGACTGGAAAGAGAGAAGACAGAAGAGATGCTGCTTCAATAGCCTGTACATTTGCAAATCTAAAAAAAGCAAAACTAAACAGCACATATAATTCATAGATATGTACCTGCAGCCAAGGATTGTATCTAAGGATTAGCAAATCTGTCAGATTTGGGTTCTCTCCATTTCCATTTTCCCAATCTTGTATGCAAATTTGTACAGTTTCTGCAACCATTTTTCCTAATGCAATGTTTTTTATTTTGTTCTCACTAATAGGAATATGTTTCTCCTTAGGATACAAATTATTGTAGGCTTTAAAAAATTGGAGATCTCAAAATTTGGAGATGTTTTGAAGGAGAACTGGGTTTCAGTTCATGTATTCATTCAGAAGTGTGAAATCACCTTGTTGTTGTTGTTAGTCGCGAAGTCATGTCCGACCCATTGCGACCCCATGGACAACATTCCTCCAGGCCTTCCTGTCCTCCACCATCCCCCGGAGTCCACTTAAGCTCATGCTGACTGCTTCAGTGACTCCATCTAGCCACCTCATTCTCTGCCATCCCCTTCTTCTTTTGCCATCTATTGTTCCCAGCATTAGGCTCTTCTCCAGGGAGTCCTTCCTTCTTATTAGGTGGCCAAAGTATTTAAGTTTCATCTTCAGTATCTGGTCTTAGCTTGCATTAATATAGGAACTAAATGAATTATCTCCCCACCTCTAATTGTATCATGGTGATGTAGTTGCCATACTGTTGAATCATATAAAGTTGCCATTTCAGTCTCAGCCTATCTATTCCTTTCTTATCCAGGGCATAAAGAGGCCATCCTGTCCCTGTGTAGTTTGTGAGATTTTCTTCTTTCTGCTTAGCCTTTACGCATTAATTATTAGATTTATATCCCGCTTTTTTCTTGCACTGAACTCAAAGGGGCTTACATCATTCTCCTTCCCCTGCTCTTGTTCCTATCACCACAGTAACCTGGTGAGGTATGTTAGGCTAAGAGTCTATGACTGGAGCAAAGTCATCCAACTGACTCCGTGAGCAAGTTGGGTCTAGAACCAGGTCACCTAAGCCTGACCTGTGTTCTTAACCACTACACCAAACACTTTCTTTTTCTTACTTCCATTCCCTTTCATCCCTTTCCTTCATTTCTGCTTCTCCCACTTCCTAGAACCCCTTGCTTCTCAGCCCACTGCCAACTCCTTTATGTTTTCTTTTACCATCCTGCTTTCTGGAAAATCTCGTATCCCAGAGCGCCAATACTTTTTTCCCTGAAGTTCCAGGCTGAAATTTAAGGATCTGACAAATAGGACTCATTATGTTTTTCCATAATCACCCAGTACTCAGAGGAACTGATCCAGATGTTGCAACCACAACGGTTTGCTTGTCCAATGCTTTACATGTTAACTGTCTGTACTATTGCAGCCTTTTGAAAATTTGATCATTGCCCTAGTTTGCTGTTTGGACAAAAAAATGTTGATACATCCTTATAGAGAGATTTGCCTATGAAGCTCTTGGAGTACCTCCATATTGCAGTATAACATTTCCCATGGTTTTCACAAACAATATGCTATAACTGACAAGCCCAGAACAGCTGGGGAATAAAAGAATTCTGGAAATAAAACTATAATCACGTGGGGTTAAATCGCGTACTGTGTCCATCACACATGGATATGAGGTGTAGCAGTTTATACCAAAATACAGGACTTCATGCACAAGTGTGTCAACTTCACAATCTGGTGAACTGATCTACTTTGTATCACAGCACTTAGAATGGTCAAACATATTGATAAAAAGTAGGTTAAACAAATATAACTCCAACAGATGAGATGTTTAAGCTACTATACAACAAACTGATACTTATTTATAACATTTGCAAAAATTGAGCAATCTCAAGCAATGTGAAAGATGAGACTTATTCAGATGAGATCCTTCCTGACTAGCAAAACGTTTGCCCATATCAACAAAAATGGTTGTGGCAAGGGAATTGCAAACCTTTTCATGGCTGCCCATGAAAGACTGCCAGAAAAAGAATCCAATTTTCCTAAATCCTTCTAACTTGAACATGACCCCAAAGACTTTTCCTATAATGTGTTTATGTCCTGAATGTGGGGGTTGTGAGGAATTAATGTTTGTGTTAAAGGATGAATAAACATTCCTGCTTATGTTTCTTAATTTTTTTCTTGCTTTTGCACAGCTCAGGATTTCACTTTGTTGTCACCAGTGCCTTTATGATTGCCTGAAAGTTTGCAGACTCCTTTTGATCTAAATTATATAATTAACTGGGTCCACTATCCCCTTCAGGTGCCCATGGAGTGGGTCCACTATCTGCCCTCACATGGACTGTGACCAGGGTTGTCAAGCTTGATCTTGCATAGCCGTAATGGCCAGCAAGATTCTGCTTGTTTTACCTCGCTGTATTGTGCATCTTTACATAAAAACCAGAGAGAGTAGAGGGCACTATCTTCTAGCTCTGCACTTATGGCACTGGATGGGCTATACAACTGGGCTTTAATAATAAGGAAGGTATTAAAGGGCTTTAATTACTGGGTAATTACTGAGGTGTTACTGGGCTGCCATACAAATGCCCCCAATTTCTTGCAGCTCAGAGATACAGCAAGCTGTGGTGGATCATCTAGTGGTAGAAGGATCATTTGATGAGAATGAAGTGAAAAAAAATATCACACTTAGATTAGCTTCTCTGCTACCTTGGTTTGACCCCTTGGCTCTGATCCATTGTGGTTAAAACTCTCTCTTGCTACACAATCAACTTTGGACTTAGTTCTGATGGCTTTTGGCTCAAAATTACATATTTTCAACAATCATTTTGAGAGACATACTCATTTTGTCAGGACATCACTGAGCATGTCGTTTCCAACTTAAGTCCTTCCAGACTTTGCTATTATATTTTTAATTACCAAAATTAAAAATGACATATTCTGCTTTTTGATATCTCATACTTAGGACTACTCTCCCACGGAAAACATAGACAACTGGTACTTAGGACAGCCAATCCATCTCCACCCTCTTAACAGTGGTTATGTTAACCCTCAGAGCTTGTAGTTCCCACCCTTTTTGTCTAGGGTCTGTTAATGCCTTGATACTGGCTCTAAATCTTGGGCCAATTTCTTGTCTACAGTGCAGCTGCTGTAGACTTGATACAAGTCGGGTCAATTTCTGATTTTGAAAGTGGCATCTGGCTGAGATGTTTTACAGGAAACATGCCAATACCACAGCCATGTACCAGCTCGGAATGGTCATTCTGCAAAAAAGAGGCTAGGTTTTCTAGTAACCCTGTCAAGCTGCAATGACTGGAAATCTTTGGGAAAAGCCACGAGTGATAGGCATCCCAGAATAAAGGTCATATATGTATATAGGGTAAATGTAGAGCTGCTTTCCACCTTCAGTTATAGTCAGTCATGCCTCATTGTTTGCTCTGCTGCACAGCAGGAAAACGGCAAAAGTTAATAGATCAAAGAGTAAAGAAACAAAACAATGTAAAGCAATAGCCTTCTCAGCAGCGATGTTCAGGGTGAGCATCACTTTCTGCTGTGTTAATAAAGTGTGAAAATGTAATCCTAGTATAGCTGCCAACTAGCACTTTCATTTCTGAACATATTGGTGAGAGGTGTCAATCTAGCACAAAAATTTGTCCTTTTTTTACACCACCTCTAGAACAGTTCAGCACAAGAGACTGTAAACTGTTTTCCACCCTGACTTAATGTTTAACTTAAAATTAGCATTGCAGAAAGAACTCAAGCAAGCACTTACACTTTCCAACACAAAATGTTTTGTATTACATGTTCCACTGTGTAAGAATTGTAATTCTCCCTTTGCTAGGGCAAGAACTAAGCTGTTTTAATTTAGGTCCTAAACTTAACAATACATCTTTGTAAGATGATGATGATGGTGGTGGTGATGATGATGATGATGGCTAACTTCTGGATTAACTAGACATTCAAGAACACCTGCCTAAACAAATGATATCCTAACATATCTTCAGTTATTTATTTATTTGTGATACTTCCAAGCCACTTAACTTATGGCCCTGAAATACAGGGGTTCCAGGACATAACCTTTGCTTTGAGTTGCGAAGGACCTTTTCAGTGGTAGTCGCCCATTATGGCAGGAGCTCCTCACTGAGGCTCACCTGGCACCAGCTGTACTATCTTTTTGGCACGGGGTAAAGACCACCTTCTACTGCAGGGCATTCAAGTAGTCTGCAGTCACAATTGCTGGGGGGGCTGCTAGCTGTTAAACATGTCTTAAGATTTTTCTTCAAGTTCTTTTAATATATATATGTGTGTGTGTGTGTGTGTGTGTGTGAGTGTGAGTGTGAGTGTGAGTGTGTGTTTTAAATTTGGTTTTACATTTTGTAATGCAAACTTTTTATGATGTTCTCATGCTTTAATATGATGCATCTTTTATTGTTATTTTTAATGTACTGTCATGAACTGCCCAGAGAGCTTTGTCCATTGGGCAGTATAGAAATTAAACAAACAAACAAAATTTAATTGCATGGAGTGCTCCTTTTACAATCTTCCCCATTTCTCTGGAACATCCGTTAGTGTTAGCAAGAAGTCCTTCTGAACTGGGGCAGCACAGTGGCTAAACTCTGAGAGGTGAATCAGGGGGTTCTTGGTCTGAATGTTACTTGCCCCATCTGCTCACTAGGTATCCTTCAGTAAGCCCTTCTCTCTCTAGCTCAGTCCTCCTTTTTGCAGTATGGGATAAGGACACCTCTCTACCTATCAGGGTAGTTGTGACAGTTACAACTATGTCATGCATGTGAACCTTTGAGAGAATGATACAATCATCATCGTTATTCATGAAAAGCTACATGTAGCCCATGACTTTAGCATGCAGTATTTACTTCATAAACATTTTGGTCCCCTGCTAGCCAGTGTGATGGGACCTCCCTCATCTCTTTTCCTCATGTATTTTCATTGCTAATTTAAGGAGATGAAAGGGAAAGTGGGGGATATGCTTGGAGATGAGAAAAAAATTCCTACAACTCCCAGCATTCTGCAGCCAGGATTGTGTCCTGAGAGATCAAATGTAGAATGTAATCAATGAGATCAAATGTAGAGAGATCAAATGTAAACAAATGTATCTTTCAAAACTGGATTATCATTAAATCATCTGACTGATGTCAAAGAAAGAGAAATGAAGGAAACCACAAAAGAAAGCCAGATATTAAAGCGTCACATTCTGGATAGCAAGTCCTTATTCTGTAGAGCAAGCAATGGCAACTGGAGAAGGGATAGTAGCACTATGGCTTGGTGCAGTATAATATTAATACGTTGACCAAACAGAACGCAGAACAAGGCAAGCTAAAAAAGCCAATCACTTCCTGACCCATTGAAAATACAGAAAATCTGACCTGGGTCAGGAAATCACTTGGTCCTCTCAGAATGACTAGAGAATGCTTCTTAAAAGAGCCCAACTTACCAATCTGATTCCTGTTTGGTGAATAAAAGGCATTGACTACAGCTGCTCCAGTGATCCACCTATGGAAATGCAAGGGACACATGAAAGTGTTAATGATGACATTGGTGGGAAGAGAAAATTGGACAGGTTTGAATCCCATGTAATCTGGACAGCAGAAGGAAGACGAGAACAAAAAGAACTTTCAAAGGGCAAAGTCTACTGGTGCGTTTCTATGCAAAAGTGAGATGAAAGCATGTCATGGAATAGCTCCTGAGTGTATTACACCATGCTATTTCAAGACTGGCAGCTTGAACCAGCCTTTGATTTACTGGTATGTGTCTCTGTCAGCTCACTTGGGAGAATGGATTGGCAGCATACTTGAAGGATGTGCAGAGATCCAAGTATGTACACATATACATTTGAAGTCAGGCAACACAGCTGCATCATCCCCTTGAATCATCTCAGAATCAGAAACATAAGGACTGCTTATGAGGGATTAGACTAATGGACTGTCTCGTCCAGCACTGTTAGCTTCAGTACAAGTTAACCAGACGTCTCTGGGAAGCTCACAAGGAGAGCCACTGCCTCTTGCTTGTCACCAGCATTTGATTGTCAGAGATGTATTGCCTCACAGCTAGTCACTTAGATCCTCCATGATCCAGCTCAACTGCTTCCAGTAGAACTTCCATCATCCCTGACTATTAGCCATAATAGTTTTGGCTAAAGGGAGTCAGAGTGCAAAATAACTGGATAGACACAAGTCAAGGGCGGCCTGTCTAACCCCTTTTACGGCTATCTAATTAAAAATTAGTTTACAGCATGGTGTATTTTAGTCTACAGCTATCTAAAGTCTTGCATTACTGAATTTAATTCTTAAGTTTTATTTATCTATTTCTTCATCATCCAATAGCTGGATTGTTTTCAACAGTTCAAAAAAACAAGACAATAGAATAACATACCATTCTCAAAATACAAAATAATAATTTTAAAATGAAAACTAATCTTTTAGGGCACAGGCCAATGCATGTCTGAATGGGAGGGTGGGGGGATTGTATAGCTCCCAGCATTCCCCAGCTCACACAGCTCTTCTGACTGAGAAAGCATCAATTGTCTGTTAGGTGCATCCTTGACTGCTTCTGAAACAACCAGTCCACTGTGGCTTCACCCATTTTTTCACCCAAGATTAAGGTAGCCAAATCATGTCAGCAATTATTTATTATATGATAATAGCACCATATTCATCTAGCCTCTTGCATCTTCCCTGCTTTTGCTGTGTCTCCCTTCTGTGGAACTACAGACCACAAACTCTTCTCTATCATACTGTATGATGAGAATTCTAAACTAGGTAGTCTGGTTACATATCACCTAAAAAGAGAAAGAAATGCACTGCAAAAGCAGTTTAAAATAAGGCTACAGATTCACAAACAATGTGAACATTCTGACAGGTTTGGTTTGCTTGCAGGTGGCCTGTGGCCACTATGCAGTTTCCTAGCCGGACAGTGTTTAAGCCAGCTCCTGTTCTCTCTTCCAATGGTTCTTTATCAAGAAACTAGGTGTGGAGTCCACAGATCCTCAAATAGAGGACTACCTTTTGCAAAGCAGCACACATGAGACCAGCCACTGACTGATAGCAGGACAAGAGCTAGTAGTTCCTGCAACAAATGGAAACATGAGTTTATGTTCCCTTTCAGAATGGGAAAGGCAAGCAATGCTCACAGAAAGGTTCCTGTTCTGGAAAGAAGCATTTTTGGAGCTCCTGTTGTGTTGGAAGCCAGTTTTGCTGGTCTAAAGGACTAAGCAGCTGCATAATAAATAAGAGTATGGAATCACTTGGAAGTATCTTCTTTCTAAAGTCAGAGAAAAGCAAGGGGAAGAAATCTTGGTAGCCTGTGCTGGTTAGTTGACTCTTATCATGTCAGGACATGACTCCATACATCTTACACTTCACTCTTTGGCATCCTTCATGAAAAGGGATTTAAGTTCACAAAGTCCTTTTTCCAGAAGGACTTTGGAGTTATTTACGATGTGGCAATTGATTGTGCACCTCACTATTATCAATAACACTTTGTTAATAGCTCCCATGTTTGTTATTTGGGTAGATTGCTGCACTGCAACTGCAGATCTCTTTATCCAAATCCTTCTGAGAACACAGAGTAGTTCACCACCACTGGAAAAACGCTGAAATTTCTTGGCAGGCTGCTACAGTATCTTACATAATACAGTCATATACATGATAAAAATAATGTATGGCTTGTCAGGCTGTGGACAATCTCAAACACTGGAAGTCTGCCAGCTTGTCTGCATCCCACTAGTGGGAACAACTAACTTCGATGAAGTGCTAACTTCCCATTGCAAAAAGAAATGGCCTCAAACTAGCCCTTCCCAAATAGGGGAAATCAGTGAGCGATGCTGACACACCCCTTCTGGAAGTGATAGCCTGAAGTACTCCCCCCCTTCCCCCGCAACAGGTACCATCAAACTTTGGCTTCCCCTAATGTTGGCAGCAATTCCTGCTAGCTCAAGGACAGCCTGGGATAATGCTCAGTGTATTTAGCAGAACTGCCACACCTTCTCTTACTATGCAAAAAAGGAAAAAAAAGAATTTGCTGGATCATTTATCTCCAATGGCTGGTGAAAACATCCCCTTCTTAAGAGATTAAAAACAAAAAAGAACTAGCAATGGCTCAAGTCCTGAATGACTCATAGACATTCAACAGGGGCAAAAGCCACATGAAAGAGCAACATCATAGCACCTCATGGAGAGTTGCAGGCTTTCTGGCTACAAGCAGGTGCCACTTTAGCAGATGACCAATCATCATTTTTTGAAAGGACCACTATATTCACACCTTAAACAGTTTAAATACATACTCTTCCTTATCCACTTTTTCTCTCAGCTTCTTCAGCCTTTCCTTCCGGCCAAATTTTAAGTTTTCAATCATGTTCCCAAAATATTCATCTTCTTTGTAGGTCAGCTTTAAAGAAACAGAAATGGCAGCGTCATTCAGGAGCCAGTGTGGTCCAGTGGTTAGCGTGGATACAAATGAGATAAGAAAATAAAAAGGGAAAGCAAGGTCTTTGCTAAAGAAAGACTCAAAGGGCCAGAGTGGTATAGCTGCTGAAGCAGTCTGGGAAGGGGTTACTGACTGATATGTCATTCCCTGCCTTACTGAAGCTACTTAAGCAAGCCTGGGTCTGGTCAGTGCCTGGAAACTCATGTATGTTATCCTGAAAAGGTACATACAGAAGTAGGCAATGTTGACATCATCAAAAGAAAATAATTCAATGTACACAATATGTAGCTCTCATGTACATGTTTATGACTTCCACAGCAAGAGGTGACTTGCACATGTGGATTAGATCTAGCACCACACAGATTTTTTAAAAATCTCTCTAGCGGTTTGTTGTTGTTGTTGTTTTCTGAAGCAACAATAGCAATTTATAAAAATGGCAGAATGAAAAAAATCCAGATTACTTTTCACATTGCAATGCTTTTGAATGGTACCAGTTTACACATTTAACAATAAATCTTCAAAGGGTGAGAAACTTGGTGATGCACATGCCTGAATATATGAGTCTACAGGAGTAATAACAAGTAGGTACAACTAGTCCTAGAGACACTGGGTCATCTGTACAAAGGAATGATGTGGAACAGAGCTAATAAGTAAGCCAGCGGCCTCTTTTAAGCAGTAGACTCCACAGAGGAAGTCCAAAATGGCAACTTCAACAATGGAAGGGAGGTTTCTCCACAGCCTGCACTGGGATGGAAAAATGTTCCGTGTCCTTTCAGACCTCCAACACTTGTAGGCAGAAACAAGACTTCTGCACAGGTCTGTGCCTAGTGATGGATCAAGGCTGAGTTTCCTTGTATGAATCCCACTGAAAGAACAGGAACGGTGTAAAAGGTCCGTTATTGTTTTTTAATGAGGCCAGCAGAGGGACTCCTAATGAGGTGTCACTATATAGAGACACAGTGCTTTCTACCATTTAGAACTTAAAGGCTTCCTGTTGCTTATAGTGTATTTTTAGATGTACTTACATCTTTGTATTCTGCATTCAGCTTAGCAGGGTCTGTTAGGATCTCATCAGGGTAGCCAATTCTTTCTCTGATTGCAGTAGCCTAAAAGTAAAATAAACCAGGGTTCAAAGCTGGAGAGATTTTACCAGCACATTACAGGGCTTTTCAATCTGCTCTTCTAGAGTTTACAAACTAGACCCATTTAGCAGGCAGATGTTTCAGGCAACTGAGATTTCTGAATTAGCGCCGGCTTTGCTAGCAGTAGTGGGAGGCTCATGAGTTCCTTGAGAATGCTTTCTGCCAGTTCGCATATATAAAAGCCACCAAAAACAGACAGACACTGACAAACCGTACAGTCAGTTCAGTGGACCCCCCCCCACACACACACACATGTGTATGTGTCACTTAATTGGTACAATCAAGCCAAAGTTAAGCACATGGGGCAGAATCCAGTATGGTGTTTAGGGCTCTGCTAATCCTCTTCAGCCACAGATTACTGTCTAGATTCAGATTTCTGTGTATAAATCTACTATTTGTGAAGCAGAGATTTAGTTCTTGTGGGGCCAATTAGAAAACAGCAGAACTGTCCTTTTCTGGAACGAAACAGGTTGGCAGAACACACATAACTGAGCTCCATCAACCTGTCGCAATCCAGAAACAAGTATTTCTATTCATTTCAGGGCTTTGCTTGGAACCATTAAATCTTTGCTGTACAACCAGAGAGCTTTGGCTGCGGGGCAGTATAAGACATGGAATAAACAATCACCACCAACAAAATAATTTAGTTGCTTAGCTGACCTGTATATGTATTTAAAATTGATTTTAGTGCCTTTAAGGATAAAACCTAGGCCAGCACTGCCTGTCCTGAATAGCAGCTGTATTTGAATGTCCCAGGCGAGTCTTTCACAGCTTTCTTAACCAAGATCCTTTAACTTAAATACTGGGTATTAAATTTAGGAAAGCATTAATGCAAGTCACATTTCTAACATTTGAACTAGGGGCCATCCCTACACAGCTTTTAAAATGGAGAGCCTAGACATCTCTGCATGAGTCAGATTGTGGGCTGCCTCCATCCATTTAATCAAAAACACCCTTTTTACACTGTTCTCAGGGGAGAGCAGCTATGGACAGACAAAGATAAGCACACAACTGTGTGCTATAATTAGTTATTTGTACCAGCAGGAATTGGTTACCACTTTCTGTCAGGTAGAAAAGTTTGATGATTATGGATCAGTCCATATGTAACTGGAAGAATGCTGCATTTGTTTTTCTCACTAATGATCCCTTTCCATGAATAAGGGCAGCAAATAATTTCTGCCATTCTCTTCTGCTCAGGTTTTGGATTCTTAAAAGTGTTGCAAAATCCTATGACTGTTTAAAAAGAAAAATGTCCTACAAGTCCAGCCATGCACCCTATCATGCTTTTGTTTTCTTCAAAATTACAAATAACTCAACCCAAACCAAACCAAACTTGCCTTTTCTTCTGCTTTCTGTTTGGTTGGTGCATCCATCCAGGTGAGCTCTTCCAGTGTTTTTATAAAAACCTCACGGATTTGTTTGATCATATCTTCTACCTGTGGGTGTACAGTACAATAAGATGTGTGCTGCAATCTTTTACCCATCTGCTTGAGATATTTCTGAGTGAACATACATAGAACTATACTGTTAATCATCCAATTCTGGACAAATTTTGGCATGTTATATCCAGTTGGCACTGATGGAAATATTAATGTTTGGTTTTCAAAGTTAGTTGATAATAACAAAGTTTAAGTCATAGCAAGACAAAAATTATCAAATAGAGCCCCCGCCCCCCAAAAAAAGAAAAAAAAAAAGCTTGTGTGTTTTATTAAACTAACAGACTGGGAAGTTACTCTATGGACTTGTATCTGCTATTGCGTACACAGAGGTGTACAATAGTATGGACTGATTTGTTTCTTGCTAGAAGAATGTGTGCCCATACAAAGATTTCATTCTGGTTCTTCATCTAACTGGTTAACTGATTGCTGAAATCAGAAGAGATATGTCAAGAGATCAGGCATTTGGAATTGGTCTAAATACCCTTCCAGAAATTCACTGTGATTCTCAGTGTTAAGGTTGGGGTTTGGTTAGGAGAGAAATTAATAGGACTACTGGTTATAATCTTGATGACTCTGGCAGAGTAGTCAAGTACCCTGCTATGTTACTGAGCTACCCAAGGAATTTATTAATTTGGATTTTGTAACATGTGGACAAAGGCAGTATCTTTGGTTAATTGTAAATTAACAGACAAAGAGAAAGGTGGAGTTTTAGCTTCTGGAAGCTAATGAACCCAGGAGGGCAGTCAGTATTCCTTTAAAACTGTGATTCAGAAGAAATGAATTTTGGAACATCTTTGGCAGTAAGTAGCTAGCTAACAACTCACCCCTAGGCTTATGAGTATAACACTGGGTGGGCTTACTAACTTCTCTGTTTATGGAGGCACCTTCCCTAACTCTAGGAGTAAATCTCACATAGACCATCTGTCCAGGAGAAAGACTGGATTGTTTAAGCACAGCGTCTTTCTTGAATCTACAGTTACTGAGCAATTGTGATTAGTTGAGCTCTGTGGTAAAAATGAGATGTATTATTATTGGCATGTTTCTGTATTGGAAAGGGCAATTACTCTTATAAAGAGAACTGCAAACAACAAAGGTTTATTTCAAAGCATTAGGTAAAAATAACAATGATTTGAAAATGCACTTTAAGGTCTATTTTAAGGCAATGGATGAAATCAATTAACCATGTTTAAGTAGATTCACAGATTGATGGGTGCCCCCCTTCCAGCCCCATTTCAACAAAGTTAAACAGATTGAATCTCCCCCCTGTAATCTCCTGTCCTTTAACACCTTCCTTCTACAACTTGCAAGGACTTCTGCTAATCTTTATCATTAGCTAATAACTTGGCTTACTGTCCTGGAAGAGTTACATAATCCCATCATCAGCCTGAGTGTTGCAAGAGGGGGCCCAGAGTCAGGATTTAGGGGCATTCCGGGGAACAGGGAGGGAATGCTCTTCCTGTTTAGCATCCTGGAAGAGCCTCACCTTCCCCACTTCTTGCCCTGGGACAAATGTTTAGCCGAAATTGGCTGTCTCTTTCTTTTGCAGGGTGGGAGACATGCAGAGGCAAACGTCACTTCGTCGTCTCCTTCCACCCACAGGATGCCCATAAGCCTCTGAGTTTGGAGAATTCAGAGCACCCACATAGGACCATACTGCCCATTTAAAAGTGACCAGTACGGTGCTCTCAGATGCATCATGTGACACTGACACAGATGGGGAGCGCTGCCCTGATCCAGAGAAACTTTGTTTTGTAGACCAAAACTTCTAGAGGACTGCAAGCTGCCGAACTCTGCTCTCTATGTAATATCCCAACAGGGCCATTTCCAGTTCTTTCAATTCTAGCCCCTACTGGTTAAAGCAGGTATTCAAGATGCCTCTGAACTGGAGATAAATCTGCTGGTTTTGGTATCTAGGCAGCTATTTGATATTCCCATCAATCCTGTGAAGCCAAACCTACTAAATATTTAAATATCTAACAGCACAGATGATGATCTGAGGACGTACCACGTGTTTACTGTCTCCAGCAAAGGCTTCCATCACATAGAGCCTTCCCACAGCATTCTCCATGTTGCCATTGACGTAGTTCGCACAGCGGCGCCAAATCGCAGAGTCCGAGGTTGTGCCGTACAGCACCTGTTGAGCACAAGCATTAGAGAAATGAGTCGGGCGTGTAGCATTTCAAACGGGAGCACATGAGTTCAGCATAGACTTCATGTTGTTATGGAATGCTTTGAACTAATGCTCCTGGGTTGCTGCTGACAGAATTTAAGTGATATGCAAAGAGGAACACTGGTTAAGTGAGACCATGTGAGTCCCTCTCCTGCTCCTCTTTCCAGCTCTGAAACGCTCATGGTTCCATTAAGCCGGAAAATGGGAAGCCTGCGTCATCCATTTCATCCGGGTCAATATATTTATTCATGCTTTTCTAAGCACATGGTCTCTGGGGAACAAAGAGGGCCCACTATGAGGTAATCGTGCATTTAAATATGCATTACACCTCCTAGGAAAATGGTTGGTCTCCTTGTAAGACAGGAAAAGACCCCTGTAAAGAGCAAAATACTGAAGCTCTTAGCAGAATTAATGGCTGATGCTGCACATTATACGGCCACTTACCAACAGGTAGAAAAGAGGATTATCAAAACAGACAACTAAAAGAGGACTGTGGTTTGCATAGGCTAATCTGTGACTGTGTAGGTGAAATTGGAAATAATTATTATACTTCAAATAGAAATACAGTAAATGTTACCATAGTGCAGAAGAGACTGTGGCCTAGTGAACTGTGTACTTGGACGTTCAATGTGCAGTCCAGGGCTAACTTTTCTTTTTTGGTGCACCTACGGCACCATTTAAACTATTTATATCAATGGTATTGGTTTTAATCACATTAATCTAATTCTTATTTTTATTTAATTATGTTTATAGTAATTCTGTCCTGTTTATTTAGTGTGATATTTTAATTGTATAATTTTATCAATGTTATTTATCAATCTTTTATGGTAGAGGCATTCTGGAGAGTGTGGTGCTAACAGGTGGGTTTCAAACAAATCTAGCAAATAATAAATAATACATCTTGATGGACAACAGGTCAAATGGTTCTTTATGTTTACACTGGAACTACATGGGGCAGCCCATCAAGAAAAGGTTCTTCAGAGGACTGTCCTCTGTAGAAGAGGACAAATACCTGGGTTTTTTGGGGGGGTAGGCAGGATTTGCTTGCAGGGGACGCCATTCTGAGTAATATTATCCTCCCCTACAGACAGAGAAGTCCCTTTCATGACTCATAACCTTTACAGTTCACTGAAGCTTAGCCCTGTTTTCTTGTGGGCAAGGAAAACAGGAAGCATGCACTGTCAGACTTCAGTGACCTTGATGTACTGAGTGAGAAGCCTAGACTTAAAACCAGACTGCAACAGAGGAATGCAATACAGACATCTCACTAAATGTCCAACCACTTCTCCATCAAGCAAAGTTAATTTTCACAATCCACTGCAGTGGTGGCCCAGAATTTCCCCTCCTCAAAACACAGTTTTGTTTTGCATAATATACATCATGTCATCTGATCTGAAAATGTGCTTTCAGAAAGCCTATACCTAGTGCCTCCTTGAGCATCAAAAGACATGGCGTAGCTATTCTGTCTTTCCTTACATTGTTTTGTGATAAAGAAAAGGTTTGAAAAAACAGCAGGAAAGCATGAGACCACTAAAAATGGAAAATGTGTCCTGGACTAGGAAAGGGGGAGAAATATATTCCTTTCACATTTAACTGCACACTTTCCAACCAACTTGCACACAGACACATAACTATTCATCAAAATTTGTACTTTTCTGACTTTTGTAGTGAAGTTCTAAACTTAAAAGTACATACCAGACATACATCTATTAGGAAAATGATGTTAAAATATATTAGGAAAATTGCTTGCCAAAAATATGCAAGCCATAGGTAAAATCCCATTCCCAAATGCATGCCTTAGGAGCAATGCACAAAAATGATTCCACGTTTTCATGCATTTAAAACGTATTTTCAAGTTCAGGATTTACTGATGTTAAGACTGGAAACAATATTGAAGTTCAGAATAAAGAAATTTGAAAGGAGCTTGAATTTGCAACCATTCAGTTTCCCTTAAACTGGGTGCTTTCCAGATGTGTTGAATTACAGCTCCATTATGGTCAGCCAGCAAGTTCAGTGCTGTCTGTGAATAACAGGAGTTGTCATCTTATACATCCATGGAGCACCAAGCTTGGCTGAGGCTACAATTATCTTTCATTATGTCTTTCCTACCTTGTGGGTCCCTGACTGCATATTAGTTCAGTGTGTGCATCGGATGTTAGAATGGAAAGGATATAAAATGCCATGTCCTGCTTGTGATTCGTCAGTTATGCACAGACAGCACAGACAGCTGTGCCTTCTGCAACTTAACACTGTGCAAAGAACTGATTTGGGATGGTGTCTGAGGGGATGCAGAAATTATGTCATTCTTCCCTGAACCATACCCTAAACCACAGAAATAGTTTTCTGTATTTGTCTTTATCTCTGCTAGTTCACTTAACCTCACTTGTCCAAAGTTCTAAGCAATCTTTTAAGAAATTCCACCCTTTGGCCAGAATGAAAAGCACTGAAAAGAAACCCAGTGTTGTTTTGAACCCTAGCAAGCACATAAAGAATGAGGCACAAAGGAAAGGTCTTTTGGGAAATGTTATCAGTAAAGCTCAAAAAGAACAGCCTGCCACTAAGCTAACTCCTCTGAAGTCTGCAATGTTTTAGCTTTTTCCTCTCTTTTGTTGTTGTTGTGCCATGTACATGATTTATTGCTGCAAAGAAATATCTGAATGGGACAGTATCTGCTTTTGCCTTCTAAATTTGTTTCTCCCTACACACACACAGACAGTCATGTCATGCCCTGAATTGAGCTACAATCTCCAAGTTAAGCTGTTTTCATCCATTGAAATACTAAGCTCCTGCAATACTCCATTGTCTTCTACTGAAACCAGTGGGACTTAGAAGAAGCACCTAACATTTGTCGGACTGCACCCCTGTATTTGCAGCACAATGCAGCATAGTCTGATGTTCGATTTTATTACAGTTTGATATTGTTATCTTTTATTAGCTCACTTGGAGACCTTTAAAAAAGGTGGAATGGAAAAATCTAGATCTTATAAATAAAATTAATTGAATAATATAATGAGCATCAGTGGGCATTGGAAATTTAACTGTGGTTACAACAGGCACCCCCCCCCCCCGGTAACCCCCATGAATGCAATGTCCTGTAAAACTCAATTTTGCTGGGGTGGGAAACCAGTCTTGAAACAATTTTAGTATTAAAATACTTCGTCTACCTACCATACCAGAGTGACTACAGAATGCATTTAAAAAGTAAAACATCACTAACCACAAAAGCAACAGAAAAAGAAATCAGGAAATACAGGTTTGGATCCAGATGTAAGCTGGATCTACTGCACTTGTGGAAGTGGATTTCCCCACCAACTCATCCCCAGTCCGACATTGTGAAAATGCTGCACCAGATGTCTGGAGAGGGAACATGCTGCTAAATGGGGGAGTGGCAGTGAGTGCAGGGAGGGAAAAACCTCCAAAAGTAAGTAGAGGGAATTTCTGCAATCAGAGCCCTTCCTAGATCCACTGTAGATAAATGAGACAGATCTGCTTAAAATGCATGTCAAATGAGCAGGTTTTGACCTGGAACTGGATAGGAAGTAATGGTGACACCAGTCATTTCTCCATGCGGATGCTGTTCACAATTATAGTCCTTCTGTCACACAATAAGCCTCACCTGAAGTTTGAAAGCACAGGTAGGATAATGTAGGGAAAGATTCTCCTGCAAATATTGGGGTCTCCAAGTATTTAGGGCTGTGTGGAGAATGCAGAGTTCATAATGTTCTAATTAATGTCTAATGATTTCCCATCCTAATTCAGTGATGGTACATTTCAGGGGAGAGTCTGTATGTTTTATTTATGTCTTTGATTAGATTTATATCCTGCTTCTTTTCTAATGAACTCAAAGTGGCTAACGTCATTCTCTTCCTGCTGCTCTCAGTCTTAACCCCACAACAATGGCCCTGTGAGGTAGGTTGGGTTGAGAGCCTGTGACTGGTCCAAAATCGCCCAGTTGACTCCATGACTGAGCAGAGAGACTCCTGAGCCCTAGTCCCATGCTCTTAACCACTGCACCACACCAGCTCTAGGAGGAGGACCTCTATAGGTGGTTCCAGATCATGTCTGCTTCTCCAGGTAGACTTTTCCTTTCCTGCATTTAGTGGCCAAAATATATGAATGCAAGGGTAGGAATGTGTAGGAAGGGCAGGATAAGTAATTACTTGCTTTTCGTCATCAAGAGAATTTTAAGAACAGTTGGGGAAGAGGCAGGCACCCCTGATTCCAGCAGTACATTCAGATCTACATAGAAAATGTAGACATTCTGCACACCTGTCCTGATCCAGCTCTAGTTGTGACTGGGAAAATCTGTGTGCCAGAGCATGGATAGAGATGCCTTTGAATGTGTATTTAAACACCTATTTCATTAGCAATGTAAAGTGAAGAGCCAGCAATGCATTCCAGTGCACTTGATTTACATCTGACCAGGCAAAGGCATGAGCAATACAGACACCTGGCTGTGACGACAGATCTTATGAACACCTGGAAGCTGCTTCATAATGAATCAGATCATTGGTTCAGCTACGGTAGTGGCTCTCAAGGGTGTCAAGCAGAGAAATCCCCCAAGTCTTCTACTGAGTTCCTTCCACAGTTCACTGGAGCCTTCCGGATGCTAGAATAATGGCACCAGGAATGTTGGTGCATAGCTACAGCACCGTGTGTTGCTAAGTTCTAAATAACACTAAAAGGGTTGTGTTTAGGAGAGCTGGTTCTCAGAAAGCTATTAGTCTGAGTCTGGTGCTCTTCTGGTACAACGTACTGGATTAGAACCTCAATTAGGGCAAATGTCCATTATGGTAGCTGTAGTCCAACACATCTGGAAGGCACCAAGTTGAGAAGGCTGTTGCTAATAGCTCCAGTATCAGAGGCAGTGTGCCTATGTCAGCCAGGAGCCTGTGTAAACATAGGCAGCAGGGTGCCATTCAGGCATGGGGTTACTAAAAGGACGCTCAGGACAGTGCTGTGCCCCTTGCATCGCTCCTGTAGGTGCCACTCACCTCCCAGGCCCCTCCATACGGTACATTATTATTACACTTCTGCTCTACGTGTAGGTTTCCCCCAGGTAGCCGGTTGCCTTGGCCACTGGATGAATGGAAGGCTGGCCTTGATTGACTTGCTCTGATCCAGCCTGCTTCTTCTTCTGTTTTCTTATGTCCATTATACATCTTTAACATTGAATGAGAACTTAAATATGATTTTTTGTACCTTACGGAAAGTATTCCTTGTGTCCTTGTACTCGCGGCTTAGACTATTAACCAAATCCATTATGTATCTCCAACTCATGTAATTTTGAATTTCTCTGCATAATGAAACAACAAGAAGAAAAAACTGTTGATGTTTCTAGAACTGTGGAATGTATTAGTAATTTTTTAAATAACAGAAATGTAAAAAGTACCTGGAATACCTACCTGGCACTATATTTACTAATGACAGCTTTTAACTTGGTTAGATATTCTGGAGCATAAACGACCACAGATTCCGTATCTGAGATATTAATGGCCACTGTTGACATGATGTTGTTTATAAATGCTGACCAACTGAATGGCTGTGAGGGAAAAATTAATTAATTTTAGGTGTATTCAACTTATCTTGCTAAGCTTCCGAAAAACCCTAGCAATTTTGTTTTTTTTAATAATTTGCCCATTATAATTTATTGTACTAAATGACTTGTATTTCTTGAAAAAAATATGAACTTGTTGAATTATGACTCATATTTACATATAAGATTTACATTCCAACAACTTAATCTACAATGTCTTCAAGGAGGTTCACAACAAAACAAGCAAGAATTAGCACTTAAAAAAAGTTAAAATAAAAATTATGGGCTGGATTCAGATTTAGTTATGGTTAGAACAGACCCACTGAAATTGATGGACATAAATTAGCCATGGCTTAGTTGATTACTCTGTGAACATGTTGATCATAATTAGCTTAATTTCAGTGTGTTTCCTGCAAGCATGATTATGTCTGGAACAAACCCTATATAATTTAAAACTGATATTGACTTTAAAAGCCACAAATTATTTAGGCTGGATGTCATTTGTGCCAAGGCTTTTCAGAATTCCAGGTACAAAACACGGGGATTGAACATTCTATAGTGAATCAAATAGTAAGTGAAGAAAATGCATTTAACCGTGAAACAAGTGGCTTTCTCTCATTATTAGGCAACTATTAAGTTTTCATGCAGTTGGATTACCAGTAGGAGAGTCCAATGTCCTGGCACATTTGAGCTTTAGTACCTCCCATTTTAGAAATTAAATAGTGCCTTAGAGCTCATCCACTGGCTATAGATGTTACACACCATTTGATCATAAGCATATGCATAAGATACATTCTGTGCTGCAAGCAGAGAGCACATATGTTTGTAGGCACACTCCTTTATGCTTCAAAAATATAGGGCCAATAAATCTTTTTATTTTCCCATTATTTTAATGTTTAAACAGTTTTAATGTGGTTTTATATTATTGAATTACTGGATGCTGTGCCCTGTTTTATCTGTTGCTTTGTTGTAAACCATCCTGAGAAGCCAGTAGATGGACGGTCTATAAAAGCCTTAAATAAATAAATAATAAATAATAGGGTGAAAGGTTTTCATATCCTTTATGTCACACAGGACTTCATACATGTGCAGCTGGTGTATGTATCTATGTACATTTCCACTTAATCCTACCCCATGTACTGATTTCCCAGACACTGGGTCACTGAACAAATTTTTAAGTGGTTTGAATGTAAACTATTCCAATACAAGACTCATTACAGATAAATAGAAATGGATTGATTTTGGAAATACATGTCTAAATGTTATATACTAGATTGGTAATATAATTACTAGTCTTTCAAAAATATGAAAAGTGCCATTTTGTTTCAACTTTCGACTTTTAATTTTTCTGCTGACAGACTACTACTGTAAATAAATTCCTCATAAATAGCAAAGAGAAATAATGCTTAGCTGGCAGACAACAATAACCCTCTGTTAAGCAATTTCACAAGAGTCTTGGAAACTCAGGCCAATAAACAATAAATTAAGCTGCATTAGCATTAAAGTTAATGAGCTGCAAATCAATCATAGGCTATAATCCCATGTCTTCTACATGGTGAAAATATACTCACTTCTGTATATTGGACATGATCCAGCCACAGACTTAATGGACTTTAGACTCACTTATGGATTGTACCTGATACGTTTAGGGACAAAATGGCAACCTGGTAAGAACTGACACCATTTTTTTCTGTAAAAAATTACAACCTGGATGCAATTCTAAATTTCAGTTTTTGAATACAGATTTGGAAACATTTGACTTTCAGAATTTAAACTGGAGTAGATACTTTGTTTGGATTGTCCATCTGTTCAAGGTGTTTCCTGACTGGAATGATTTTCACTAAATGCTGATGCAAATCATTTGCCAGATCTGCTGATGTGTGTTAGCTGTTTGATACTGGCTAATATACATTGCTGACTGGTTCATGTCACCTGTCAGATACTGCCATGTTTTGATTGGTATTGAGAAGCCTATGTCAAATGCTGATACTGAAGTCACAACTCTTCAAGCATAAGTAGATAGGACCTGAGCTAGTTGTGAGTGATCCAGAAAAAGATCTTGGGGTTCTGGTGCACAGAGGTGAAAAGGTCAACCCAAGGTATGATAGCTACAAAAAGTCATATCCTTGTTGGGTGCAATTAGGAAATAATTGCAAATAAAACTGGCCTTATGGAAGTGATGGTCCAGTCATGCTTGGAATATTGTGTACTAGAATATTGCAATCTTGGGAAAAGTGCAGGAAAGAACAATGGCAATGATCAAGGGGCAGAGCAACTTCCCTATGGGGAAAGTGACAACATCTGGGAATGATTAGCTTAGAGTAAGTTGAATACGAGAGAGTATGGAAGAAGTGTACAAAATTAGAGAAGAAGGTGTACTTCCCTAAAGGACTGCTAAAAGAATTTCTTCACACAGAGCGTACGTATCCGATAGAATTCACTTTAGTCAGTGAATGGTCATAAATATGAATGGCTTCAAAACAGGATTGGTCAAATTCATGAAGAAGTCCATTAATGGCTAGTAGACCTGATGATATATGCCACCTCCAATATCAGAAGCAGTGTGCGTGCATGCACCAATTGCTGGGGAACTTGAGTGGAAGAGTGCTATTGCATTCGTGCTTCTCATGAGCACGCAGTTGGCCACTGTATGGACAGAATTATGATCCCGCATGACTGGTGTTTTTTTTGTGGAGGCAATCATCCTCTTCTGAAGGTGCTCCCCAGTGAAGAGTTCAGTACTGCCTTTTTCTGGGAGAAAAATGTTAATGATGGCATTTCCAGCACATTTTATCTTTTATTTCCTTCTCTATCTCAAAAAAGGCATTGAAGAGTGCTGATAAGCAGATCACATTTAAAGTTAATCAGTTAACCCTAAGAGGTGGGTTAATGCAAGACTTCCTTTAATCACCTGACAGATCCATAAATAAATTATATTATAATGGCAAAGAATTCAGCCTTTGGAGCCAAGACTTGTTCATGTGTCAAGCCATACTTTTTCCGTAATGCCTTTCAGATAAATAATATCTTTATTACATGCCTGGCCTCACTGTTGATGATGGAGCAACAAGTATTGAATTAAACTTTGTCCACTTGGCTAGTATCTGATCTACAACCATGCATAGTGATTTAAGCCCTTTGGCACAGTCGAGTCTTGCAAGAGACGGATACAGACGGATACAGACAGCTTGACTAGCTTGACACACAGGGGGCAAGGGCAGGGCTTTTGGTTGCAATCCTGTGCATCAGGATTGTCAGCCTTTTGTTTGTTGTGGGCCACATTCCTGAATATTCTATCCAGCCTGGTTTTTTGTATCCAGCCTAGACAAGGCTGAATGCAGGAGTGGATGGTGGTACCTCTTTCTGCTACCCACCCTTTCCCCCTCTTTCAGCCACTCCTCCTCCTTCCTTCCTTCCTTCCTTCCTTCCAGGACAAGTGGAGCAAGGGAAGGGACTGATCACTTTTGCCACATTTCTGAAATGATGGTATGCAGGAAACTTTTGAAATCTGACTAAGGGCACATCTTGCCCATACTTCGCATAGATACTTATCCAGGAATAAGTTCTATCAAACTCCCTTTTGATTAGACAAGTATAGGTCTGTACTGTTATCCTTCTCCCTACTGATCAGTCCTCTCCCTACTGATCTGTCATAGGGATGGATAGATTTTATTAAATCCATTCCATCCATCTTTTGCAGATTGTCAGGCATCCTGCAATCTGCAGTCACTAACAGAATCTAGATTTTTAAAAACTGGAATTCAATTCTACCTGCACTAATTCACATTAACAGTAGCATGCATCTGATAATAAAATGTATGCAAATTATTCCACCCTTCACTCAAACAAACAGTCTACAAAATCTGCAGAAACTACATTATCTGGAAATAGCTAGTTTGAAATCTGAACTTATTAGAAATGTTAGGGATTTCTGTGATAGCTCCACTCCATTTGTTTGGAGAACTAGCACTTGTGTTCAATTGCTCAGGGGTCCTTGTATGAGTTCTCCAGCATTTTTGATTTCAAAATTCAGTTCAGAATGAAGGATTTGGTTTTATTGTATTTATTTTAAACCATGTTACACTAACTGCATTGCTTATTCAGTGAAAGAAGATTGTGTTCAATTGCTCAGGGGTCCTTGTATGTGTTCTCCAGCATTTTTGATTTCAAAATTCAGTTCAGAATGAAGGATTTGGTTTTATTTTATTTATTTTAAACCATGTTACACTAACTGCTTTGCTTATTCAGCGAAAGAAGATGGAATCAGCACAGTATTGAACTTTTACCTTATTATTGATATCCAAAGAAAAATTTTTTTGGACAGTAGCGAGTGTCATTTTGTTGTATAGCAGAAGTGGGTCAGTTCTGTCTTCAGCTTTGGTTGTAACCTAGATAAAGAAATTTACAATGCACAGTTTTGAAGAGAAGCAGACATGCAGAAAAGTCTTAATAAAAAAGGCAAGCGGATCTCGAAATTCATATATAAAGATGTTTTTGACCATATTCTTAAAATATAAAAGCTTCAGAAATGATAAAGCTAATGAATTCTGGATTGGATTTAGACATAGTCACATTTGCAATATGCCCTGAAATCAATGGGAATTAAATTAACTTAAGTAATCATAAGTCCCATTGATTTCAGTGGATCTGCTTTATGTATGACTAAGGCAAGATTAAAAACATTATCAGTCAAATAATGTTATTAGGCAATAGAGACATTCATTGATAATTGGCCATTTTTATGCAGTGCCGCAATTACAAATATGTCAGCATGCAATCTAATGTTTTATTCTGTTATGGTAACTGCTGGACATAACTATGCTTAAAAATGATGATGTGTATTGAAGAAATTATAAAGATTACATGGATAGGACCACCTGTGTTTACCACATAAGTTTTCTGAAGAAATAGCTACCTGTTCTTCCTTTGCTTTATTTTCCTAGGTGCCTAGTTGTAAGCTGTATTACTCAAGAGCACAGCAAGATCATTTTTCCATGAGTAGGAGTATGAGACAACCACAGCAAGGCAATGTATCTTCTGCCTCACCTGGTTATTGGTCCCATAACCTTGCCTCATGAAGTGGCTGGGTGCATATCTGGGTGGATTTGCTGAAACTTTGTGCCATGCAGCAGGAATGGGTTGACTTCAGGCACGCTAGAACTGCTGTGTCTGTTTAAAAGAGCTCTAAATCTACCAGGTATAAAATTGTGGCTGGAAGAAGGTAGTAAAGGACACTAAGCACAACAAGGATAGCACACATTTTCATCCCAGAAATTTGTTTCAATATTGGACTGAACTTCCAGCCCTTTCTCACAAAAATCAAGTCCCAGTTTTTCTGTAACCATTTTCTATTTCAATAGCTTAACATGAGGTGGGCAGACACTCACAGATTTGCTTTTGTTAAATAATAGCCTGCCAGAATACTTCACCAATCTATTTCAAATCACCTAGAGATCTATTGGCAAATACAACCTACTTTCAGCTCACCCCTTCCTTACAAAGTTGTGGATCATGGGACCTGCTCTTGCCAGCTGGAAACAAGAGGTTCACATTGATACCAAATTGCTGCATGTTGCACAGATTCTAGCCCGGATGTTACCAGGTCTCCAACCCCCCACACACACACACATGCATATGTGCAGAGTATTATGTTAGTTTATAGCAGGAAAAGACAGAAGTGTTACTGTACAAGGGACACGCGTCTTGATCCTACGTGTATTTACTTAGAGGACCAATGAAATTCAAGAGTGCTTACTCATGAATAAGTCAACAGACTGGATACATTCCATCAGATTTATTTCATCAGTACTTTGCATTGTATCTTTGCCTAAGATCCCAATACTTAAGCTCTTACATAGGAACTGATCATTTTAATCCTAACCTTCAAAAGTGACTATATATAAAATTATGTGCATTAAAATAGTAAAGCTGACTTACATTTGCAATTTCCTTTTCCAGTTCCATTACTTTATTCATTTCTAAGGAAATTTGGGTCTCATTGATGGGAAGTTTTCTTTCTTGACGGATCAGTTTTGCTACGGAAATCATGAAATTAACATAGGCTGAACAGGCCTGTAAGGAAATAAAATGATTTTCAAATATCTATTGGACATTGTGTAAAATGGTTCAGTGGACAAACTGCCTCTTTCCACATGAGCTGTCCATCAACTGCAGTCATCTTAGGGCCTGCTCTGTATTCCTTCACCAAGGAAGGTAAAATCGTACTCATGCAAGACAAGGCCTTTATGGGGACTGCACCAGCAATTGCAGTGCTCTTTCCCATGGGAAACTAGATGCCTTCTCTGTCATCCTTAGACACGCATTTCAGACAATATTGTTCCACTAGGCTTATAATTCTTTATCCAGGTTTTTTTTTTTTAGTTCATTTGTTTCATTTTGACTTTGAGTGTTCTTTTACCTACAGAGCTCTCTTATTATTAGAAGCTGCCTCAGGGATTCTTCTTGGGGCCAAAAGAGCAAAACAGACAGGTTTTATAAATAAATAAACTTGACTGTACAACCAAGATGCACCGCTGCTGGGAGAGGGCATTGGAGCGGCGTTCTTAGAGTCAGAAGAAGCTGGTATGACTCTTGACCACATGGCAAGGTGCTGGGAGAGGTGGGCTAGCCAACTAGAGAGACAACTACAGAGAAAAGGAGTACCTGCTTCCAAAAGGACCATCCCAGGGGGATGGGGCCAGAAAGGAAGCTTCCCAGAATCAGTTGTCTGACTGGGTTCAATAGACTGCTCTGTGCATGCTTAGCAATTCATTCTGTGGTGACTGAGTTTATTGGATATACATTGGTGAATAAAGAACTTTTGCAAAGGAATAGTCCGTTGGTTTGAATGTGCAAAGGGAGAAAAACCTAGCATCTGACACTCAGGGTTACCTACCAAAGCAAAAGAAAGCAGTACCATGAGCAACACTGCGTAAAACAAACAATTATGTACAAGAAGCAATGACGATTTATTAGAAAATAAATTTAAAAGGAGAGATAAATACCAAAGTGTCTCAGACCTGGAGAAGTGTGATATGTATATGTATTAGAGAATCTTCTGCTCCTGATGCATTGTATTTGAATAGCTAGAGCTTTGTTAAATTAATTCATTAATTACAGTTCTTTATTGCCCAAAAGAGACAAAGCTATCTTAGCTGTTAACAGGACATAAACGATAAATCAGTTGCTATTTTTGATGAAGAAAATGAATAGTTGACTGTGGTTAGGTGGAAAACACCCCTCCCCCATTCATTTTTATATTCATATTAACAATAATAGCAAGCTCCTAAGTAGTTTAAATATTCCCTTATGACAAATGGTCATATGTTTCCAATCAAGTCCTAATATAATTGTTGTTTTTTGTAAACCGTTCTGGGAGCCATGTATGGCAGTTGAACAGTATATAAAAGCTATAAATAAATAAAACCCTATCAGGCTTCTGTTACGAGTGTAATTATATATTTACTAGTATGTATTTAAAAGCTAACACCTGAACTGCATATTAAGCTGACTTAATTATGTTTTCTGAACATACGGCTTCCAAGACTATGATATGAAACCATGTGTTAATCTTAAAGGAACAATGATTTACTGCAGCCAGCTTCTTTAGATGCCTGTAGGACACTCTGTTGTGGATGCTTCACTTCTGACTTCCCCTTAGCATGCTGGTAGTTGTCTGTATATCATCCATAACCAGCCCCTGTATATTTGTGAATTGCCTAAATGGATACTGAAGACTGTATACACTCAAATTAGAATGCTGCAGCCAACCATAATTCCCAATCATATGAGCAGAAGTACCCCACCATCAGGGCAGGGTATGGTGGCCACCTCAGGCAATGGAAGGTTTTAAGAATACATTGTGGCAGAGAAAGGGCATGATACAGTGGGATTGCTCTTGCGCAGCTCCTGTCTGTAGAAGTGGAAAGTGCTGCGGATTGGGAACCATGCTGCTTGTGAATATGAGGTGGGTGTTCTGGGTCTGGTGGCAAAATACCTATTGTGTAATGATACACCTGAAATGTACACAAAAAATTCATGTTGTGCTGGTTAATTTCAGATTGAGTAGAACACCGTATTTTTCCTTACTCATTGGCATGGAAATATAAGTAATCTGGGCAACATTACATTTCTATCCCATATAAAACTTTGGGGGCACCATTCTTTTTTCATCATCTTGCTGCTATTCATTACAGGCACACTTTCCTGCTGAGACTTCTAGACTAGATGAGAAGCAGGTACATGGGGAGCCCATCCTTTCAAAAGGGAGTCCTTGCTGTTCTGTGAGCTCAGGCATACCTCTTTGTATAATCCAGTGCATTCATAGTAATCACGGGAAGGGAGTCCAAGTCCAGGCTGATCTATCTGTAAAGTCAATTTTGAGAGGTATTCAGGCTACAGATAATATAGCAATCCAGTGAGCGCTTAAAACTTTACAGCTAATTTCCAAACAACAATACAGTTCTGAATAACTCTCTTTTTTCAAAATAAAATGCTTAAATACCATAATAAATAATCCTATACTCATTCTTATAGATTGAGAAAGAAGCTATGAAGAATGGGAGTATTCCAGCAAAGAAAGAAAGAGGGGGATGTGGATTTAAGGAGAAAGGATTGGGTAAAGGCAAATGGAGGAATAAAAGTTCCACACCATATTGCCAAATGAAGAAAAGAAGAGTTTAGTAGTGGTCTGAAGATCTGAAGCTGTAGGCAATGATTCTGGCTACGTGGGAAGTGGTGGCCATGGGAAGTGACAGTACAAAAATTTTACTAGTAGACGTGATGTGACATAGTCAAAGTGTAGGTGAGGAGGCATTCTGCAGAAGTGACTGCTGATAGTTTACCAAACCTGCATGGCATGCCAGCTGCGGCTCAGAAGCAGCCTGCTTCCATGACACATTCCCTCCGTGACCACTCCTGGGAGTGGGCGAGGAGACGCCACAGAACCAAAAACAAGGAGGAAAGGAACGATATTCTGTGCAGCCCACATGCACTTCCTATAGAGAATCTGCCCAAATATTTGGCATGGATTTGGGCAATATGTAGGCAGCTGCAGGAAAGGGTAAATTTTTTGGCCAGTGGTTTCTGTTTCACTAGTGAATGCTCAGGGTTGGCTGCAACCCAGGGAAAGGGAATTCAGTGGCATATGAAACTTTCAACACACAAGTTCAGTAAATAGAAATAAAGCAAGTTTCCCTAAAGGTCAAATGATAGGACTAAACATGAAAACTGAAGGAAACACACAGTGTGATCGGTACCTATCCATGAGTTCCAAGCTGGTGTGCATACGCAACAGACTTCCTCCTGAACTTTCTCACAATTGCCTGGGAAGGGGATTGTGCAGGCTCCACTGCTAGACTCACCACCTCCTTGGGACTGTGCGGTGCAAGATGGTGCACTTGTGGGCAGGGCATTCCTAACATACCCAGTTTCCCTGTTTGCTGCAGCTTGGGTTAAAAGAAAAAGAGTTTCCAGACCTTTTCCCAGAATGGTGAACTTACATGAAGTATGTGTTGCATGGAGTTTTTGTCATCTGTACCAACATATACTTTCATGATGACCATTTTTCCATAAAGAGCATTTAGTTCTGCAATAGCCTTCTCCGCTGTCCATGCATTGCCTAAAGCAGTGAAAACATACTCAGGCTCAGTTTTTTGATAAGCCCCTCCCCATAATTGGAAAAGGATATCATGATACGATAATGATAACCAGAACTCTCCTACCGTAGTCTTGGTCCCAGGTGTCTGATGCTACAGGCCAGTCAGAAAACGTTGGCATGATGCTGAGCAGGGGCTGTCCTCCTTTGCTATTGATAGCAGCTTGTGAAAGAAAGCATTGATGCCATGAGTTAGAAGTAGTTTTCTTAAAGCGCCCATTTACGATACTGACATGTGGGATGATCCTACATAGCTAGTGATTCTCTCTCAATAATCACTCATTACTAGATTTAAAAAAATTCCCAGAGGCTAAAGTTTTTTGGAAGGAAAAAAGTATCAAGAAAAGCTAATCAGAGAGGCTGTGCATTTCTAGAATATTATTTGTTTTTTTAAAATAATTTTATTTTTCCAACATAGACAACGACATAGAAAATAATACAGAACAAATAAAAAACTACTATGAACAAAACAAAGTAAAGTTAACAAAGCAACAGAGTTGCCAAGGGAATTACAAACAACATAGCCCATATAGTGCAGGCCCCAGAACCAACTCTCTTCCTATCTTCCCATGCTCTATGAGATTTTGCAAATAAGGAAAAATAATATTTTTTCTTTTTTCTAGAATACTATTTGAATGTATCCACAATGCACTAAAATGGACACAAATCCAGTGTTAATTTCAATATGAACTCAAGCACCATTTTCCTTCTTCTCAACCTGGATAACAATATTTGCTAGGTGTGTTGTTGTCATGCCTTCTTTTACTGTTGTGGCTTGTTTCACAAGGCACAAGCAGTGTTAGGTTGTGGTCTCCCACAGCTGGAGACCCAAATCTTTCCTTTGCAGCCCTGAACCTTTAGGAGACCATCTGCCTCACCACCAGTGGGCACTTGCTGAAATAAAGGCATGGGGGCCTTGTGATCTCAGTTGCATCTGGTCCCCCTGGGTCAGCTGGCCTTTTGCAGGCACCTGCTTCACTCCATGTCACCATCTCTTAAATCTTTCAACCTTAGATGTTTTTTCCTTCATTCTATTTTACAAATAGGAGTGTCCTTAGGAGACACTCTTTTAAACTCAGAGACAGACAGACTGTAACAATGTAAATTAGCATGTGTGAATTTATATATTTGTTTTGGTGCTTTGGGCTGAGTCATAATTCTTGCTGGTATTTAGTACAGGCCCTGCCATGAGAAAATATTTGAATAGATCTTTTTTTCCCCCTTTTGGTGCATCCTGTTAGTCACTTTCAGGGAAAACCTTCCATCTGACTGACAAAATGATTTGAGATGAGCGAACCAAGCTCATGAATAGAAAGGCAAGGCTGGAACAAGACTGAATATGCAGAATAACAGTTCAGAATAATAATCTAATGTAGCTTTGATTGCATAAATGAAATGATCCCTCTGATGAGCCTTTTGTTATTTTGTGTTGGCCCTCATTTTATCTCCCAGATACACTCTATCTTTTGACCCACTTTGCCTATGATCTTCCTTAAAAAAACAAACCAAAAACCTCTGTTAGGTAGGTTTGATGCTGATTGTATGAAGCAAAGTTATCTTGCACAGTATCATACAACTACTGCAAGAAATGATGGTGCACCTTGTGAATATAGCATACAGCTGTCTTCCCTGGCGTGGTTCCTTTCCAGATGTGTGGAACTACAACTACCATCATTCCCAGCCATCACAGCAATGCCATGCTCTATTACACGTAGCAATTTACAATGGGAAACTTACATTCATTTATACAAGACCTGTAGAGTGTTTTTGCTTTCTTGACAGCATCTATATCTGTACTTTTTTCCTGCTCAAGGACATCTGAAACAAGGGAGATATGCATGCTTAAAATTCATAACTAAAAAGTTATGTTATACAAATGACATGATGTCTCTGGGTAGCAACAGCTTTTTTACCAGTTACAACCTCAATATCCAAAAAGGTGTGATTATCATTATTTAAAGTCTCTTGGGCACCAGTCCTATGAGCCCTGTGAGGTCAGCCCTGGAGCCATAGGATATGATGGACCTCTCTCTCTATGGATGGAGAAGGAAGTCCACCCATGAAGGCCCTCTGACATGGCTGCACCATCAGTGGCACCATATGAGAAGCACTGGCAACAGGGAAGAATCCTGGTGCCATGAGAGAGGTGAGCTCTGTCCTTTGAGCAGAATCAATGGCAAAGTAAAACAAAAAGAATAACCTGGGAGAGGAAAACAAAACTATCTTCCACCGTGATTGGGAAGTGCCATTTCCTTTGCTATGGACTTGCCACCCTCACTTCCTGTAGGGCTGTAAATGCTCTAAGCTTCATGTAATATTGCCATGCATATTCTTCTGAATTTGGCATTTTGGAAAGAAACATATCTTTGATATGGATGAATACACTTATGTTCAGAAGTCACATTTGGCTGTATCCAAATGCAGGACACAGAATGGAAGGGTGAACAACACTGCCAGACAGCATTTTTAGCAGCATTCTCAGCTTGGCTGGCCTAAAGGAAGCTGATGTTTTCACACCTATGACAGTAGGCCACCTGTCCAGGTCAAGAGGACACTGGTTTCAGCTGTCATAAAAATCAGAATGTCAGTCGTCAGAGTGGGACCAATTTTACCCAACAATCTGAAAACAGCCTCTGTTTGCCTTTTGCCAGACACAACAGATTAATCCCAAAACTTGCATTCATATAGGCAAGCAAATGGTCCGAACTGATTTTAAATAAACCAGAGTACAGAAGAACGCATCAAAACATTGCACTTTTCAGTTTCTTGACATAAGCTGGAAGAGTGGAAAAGACGACTGAAATCATCTGAATGTTTAGTTCACAAATGCATATTCCACTGACCTTTCAGCACAACTTCTAGTTCATCTCTTAAAATATCAAAGTTACTATAACGGGAACTTGTCTCTGGAATGACGTTTTTCTTTAACCATCCTCCACAGGCATACTGATAAAAGTTGTTGCAAGGTTCTGCAGTAGCATCCATGTTCTCAATGATTCGGGAAGCTATCATAAGAGATAAAGCAGAAGAAATATTTTAAAAAATGAGGATCATATAAGGAAAACAAAAATAAAATGCCCACTTTTAATCTCTGGTACTAAAGGAAAGAAAAGTGGTTTCATTGTTATAAAATAATATTTAGGGCATGTATTTACAATGATAGGATTTGGTTGTACAAGGGAGTAGCTCCCATAATTAACACAACCTGGCAGCTCAATAACAGTTACAATTTTTCTTCCCTTCTACTTGAAGAAAAAGGGCTGTGAACAGAGAGCTGGATTTTACAGCAGATTCACTTGACACAGGGAGACCTTACATGAGGAATAAGATTGTTGACCAAATGGTTCACGTTCTGGTAGCATATGCCCAAAATACGTAATAGGGGAAATATTGATATACACATGTAACCCTTCAATGATCAGGCCAGCTGAGGACTGCTCGGGTACACCACCTGGGATGATTTGTAAGCAGTTGGTTATTCTCAAGAATAAATCTTTTAAAAGAAACCCTTCCCCTGTTGTGCACTTTGGGCATACACCAACCAGGACATAGACCATTTGGTCAACACATTGATCATTAAAGGGTTACATGTAACACAGTCAACACTTTCTCAAGAAGTTAAAAAAAAGTTACAATGGCATGAACTTTCCAGTTTGCATACCAAAGAAGATGTTCCCAAGGAGAGAGGAGGAAGGGATACTATTACATAGAAGAGGAGGAGGATGGGGTGGATTGGTGTGAATTGCCCTTTGTTTGAGCTGCTGTTATCTGCCAAGTGCCAACTAGCTTTATCTGGAATGGTGTCTGGTTATTGTCAGCTACTTTTCAAGGATGCACACATGCTGATTTCTAGAAAAGAAGGTTTTCTCTGGCCTAGCTATGTGCAAATGATTGCATGATTCTACCTATAAAAGCTCTACCTATTGATTTGTACATCAAGGTGGCCAGTTACAACTCACCAAAAAGAGGACAGTGACTCATATAATATTTGCCCATGCTCATCCATGTGTATAGATGAAAACACAAGAAGTATGATATTTAAAATGGAAATACAGTGCATCTTGCCATAGTGAGGAAGACTGTGACCAGGTGACCTGTGTATGTGATAGATCTTCAGTCTTTTTACTTGGTTTCATGACTCTCACTGTATCAGGCAAAAATCATTTTGTTTTTCAGGCCATTTCAGCTGTGGGAATTCTCACACATTTGTTCTACTGCTGTTTTTGTTCAGGGTATTTTTTTAAAAAACCTGCATTTCTTCATGTTTTTTAATAATTTATTTAATGTTAATAATATTTATTAATTGTTTAACTGATTTGATAGCTGACTTGGGAGAACTATGAAATTAATCATTCAAACAACCAAGAAGGGGAAAATATTGCAGAATATTGATAAAAGAGTTTTCCTTTGCGTTTCTGCACAGTGTTCCCTAATGGAAAGCTAATTTGTTTAATCCCATACTCTACACTTCAATTTTCGAGATAAGGTTCTCCCTTTTGAATGGCAATGCTCTTTAAAATTATAGCTAAGGACTATATACTTTCACTGAGGTAATGAATGGAATAGGACTAAAATTATATTGTAATTTTCTCTCAGAAGATGGAAAGATATTTTAAAGAAGGCACCTGAAAAGAACATAATGAGGCTTAGTAGATTTGGCTGTCCATCTGCATTTCTGAAAAGCACCCAAATGAAAATACTGGATCAGAATGTCTGACTGGCATTCTGTCCACAAAGGCCTTTGATGCGGCTTTCCCTGAATTTATATTAGAAGGAGCATGTTAACTTGGAGAGGCATCACTTTCCAGTAGCTAAATTTTTCAACTTGAAGCTGGAATAGCCAGGATTAAATCCCAATTTAGGAACTGCGGCAGTCTGAAAAGATGCTGGAACTGGCTGAGGGTGCGTAGTGACCTACTTTTACAGAGGATAGCTCTCATTTTAGAGAGCTGGGAGATGATAGTCCTCTATCTGAAGGTGTCCACTGGTTGATGGACTGTCTAGTATAAGTCTGTTTTAATCACAAAGAACCGTAGGAAAGGAAGAACCATCGATATCCATCAGTAGTTAGCATCTGAAAGTGCAGGTCACCCTAGTCCGTCTGCTTCACTATGGTGAGATGTTTTGTATTTCTAATAAACAAGTTATTATACCTAAATTTGTACATTTGTACATTCGTCACGAGCTTGACTCTACTGTTGAACCAGATTCTACTGAGGAGATGCCAATGATGCCGTCGAGTCCACAATTAATGGATGAATTTCAGTTGTTGCGGCCTGATGATGTGGACAAGGTGCTTGGACAAGTACGCCCTACCACCTGCTTACTAGACCCATGCCCATCCTGGCTACTTAGGAAAGCCAAGGACAGGATTGGCACCTGGATCCTGGAGGTGGTCAACGCCTCTTTAAGAGACGGTCAGGTACTGTCCTCTTTAAAAGAGGCGGTAGTCCAACCAGTCCTAAAGAAGGCATCCCTGGATCCAGACCGGTGGCCAACATCCCGTTCCTGGGCAAGGTGCTAGAGCGGGTGATGGCGGGACAACTCCAAGCATTCTTGGATGAAACTGATTATCTGGACCCATTTCAGTCCGGCTTCAGACCCGGGTACAGCAGTGAATCTGCCTTGGTTGCCCTGTACAATGACCTGTGCAGGGAGAGAGACAGGGGGAGTGCGTTCCTGTTAGTTCTCCTGGACCTCTCAGCAGTTTTCAATACCATCGACCATGGTATCCTTCTGAATAGGCTGGCGGGATTGGGAGTTGGAGGCACCGCGTGGCGGTGGTTCCGCTCCTATCTCAACGGCCGATTTCAGAAGGTGGTGCTGGGGGACTATGGCTCTGTGCCATGGCAGTTATGCCATGGAGTTCCACAGGGGTCCATTTTCTTCCCCTTGCTATTCAACATCTACATGAAACCACTGGGAGAGGTCATCAGGAGGTGTGGGCTGCGGAATCATCAGTACGCTGATGATACCCAGCTCTACCTCTCGTTTTTCACCAATCCAGGTGAGGCAGTGGCTGTGCTGAACCAGTGCCTGGCTGAGGTAATGGGCTGGATGAGGGCCAATAAACTGACGCTCAATCCAGACAAGATGGAGGTCCTGTTGGTGGGTGGTTTGGGACTCAGGATGGGGGACTTGAGCCTTGTCCTAAATGGGGGTGCGCTCCCGCAGAGGGACAGGGTTCGCAGCTTAGGAGTGCTCTTCGACCCTGAGCTGTCTTTAGAAGCCCAGGTGACGGCGGTGGCGAGGAGTGCTTTCCTTCAGCTTCGGCTGATCCATCAGCTGCGTCCCTTCCTGGAGAACAATTGCCTGGCGACAGTGACACATGCATTGGTAACTTCCCGATTAGATTTCTGCAACGCGCTCTACGTGGGGCTACCCTTGAAGATGGTCCGGATACTTCAATTGGTGCAGAATAGAGCTGCCAGGCTGCTGACGGGGACTGGGTGTTGTTCTCATATAACCCCAGTTCTCCGTCAGCTCCACTGGCTCCCGATTGAAGTCCGGGCCCAATTCAAGGTGTTGGTT